ATATAAAAAAAAGACTATAAAAACAAGTCTTTCAAGCAATTTATTGCAGTTCGAAAAACTTGATTACATTTTGTAAATGTTAAAAAATACTTACATTGTTGAACTCATCCTCATGGGCAGTCACCAGGTGGCATTCCAACTTTTCTTTTGTAGTGAACACCAATTCACAGAAATCGCACATGAATTCAACACCTGAAAAATGTCATTATTAAAACATCTTACTATATGCATACAAGTGACAAGTTAGTGGTTTAATTTTAATACTCTAGCCATTCCCATCTATTTTACATAAGGAAAAGATGTATGAGGAAATGGAACCATATTATTTATATCCATTTTTTTTGTCAAATAAACATAACCCAAACTTATCAGCTTATTGGGAAACTTCCGTTTAAAGTAGCTTATGATGGAATGGGTGGAAAGGGGTTTTTATGAAGGAGGGGAACCAGTTTCAAAGTGATTGATGCCAGCACAGGAATATATGTTGCAGAATTAGTCAGCTCGCTAGATACCAAGACCACATAAAAGACATAGGTCAAGTGGAAGTAAATCGACGTTTCGTCTGATGACTGTGTGTGCCAGAGGCCTAATTTTAGTATCCTTTCTCTTCTCACCATTTTCTCATAAGGAAAGGGAAAGGGGAAATGTATTTAACGGGGGAGAGGATGTATGAGAAGGGGGTAATTATTCCCTTCCTGCGCATCTCCTTCTCACTTGGTGTGTTTATTATGATATAATAAATACATAACATACCATTGACGTGTGACTTGATGTGTGCTGTAACAGCGTCTACGTTTTGGAACTTCTCCTGGCAGAGGGGGCAGATTAGGTTCTGCGTGGCATGTATCGCTGAGTGGTAGATGAGGTCGTCCTGCGAGCTGAATGTATCGTCACACTGCTCGCACCTGAACTGCTCCGTCGCGCCGAAAGGTCCGCGTGACGTGCGGATGTTCTCGCGGTGCTTTATACGTAGATGTCTGAAAGAGGATGCATAGAGTACATACTTATTTTTTTTTACCTGAGTCATGATGGTATGTTCTTCACGTATGTAACTTTTTATGTATGTTCCATAGTGACCTCCTTTAACCTAAACCACTGAGCCGTTTTAACAAACTTCACTGAACGATTTTTTTTATCGATATCTGAGTAAAATATATAGTCAATTTACTAGTCAATTTAAAAATGTCGATTATTTCTTTAAATTGGCTTTATTTAAATAATCTACATGTTTTACTCTTGAAATTACTTACGTTTTCATACAATTAAAAATTTTACGTGACGTAAAATGTCAATTACAATTATATTTTTTTATTAGTTGTCATAAATTTAAGTATGGCAGCGAGAAAAAAATAATTGTATCAAAAAATATTAAAATTTAGGAACTCTTCTATGTCCTTTTAAAACACACACAAAATAAACCTACGCACACCATCAAAGTATTAATAAACCTAATATAATAGTTTATAAATAGAAGAGTATATTAATTAATAAAAAAATCTTTATCCTTACTCTTGATATTCATTATAAGAAATTTCAAATGATTGTACACTGTTGAGTTACAAAACTGAAATGACAGTGTTGTCCAGTCGCCAGACAATTTATTCTCTTACCTCCTCGATATTGAACAAATCCTTATCATTATGGATACATAACGGTAACAATGATATATGCAGTTTCAACTTTGATTTACATCCATTATGCAAATCTGTTCAGATCGGCAACGTGAATTTTGAATCTGATTTGCTACCACATCCAGGTGAGTGGAAAATTTTACACTTTGCAAACACCTTTATTATAATTTGAGATTTAAATTACAAATATGAAAGACAAAATTATTTAAAGAAGTTTTTTCACTGTTTCCTTTCAGTATATTATACATTACACCAGTAAATCTGAGGAAACTTTGATAATATTTTTTAAAGAACATAATGTCTACAAAATTTTAAAATGTATGTAAATTGAGAAATTAGTTGTAGTTATTAAATATTTCACAACTCCACAACTATTGCCCATTTTTCGTGTTGGCAATATATAAATTTATTCAAGTCAGCGCAGCTGAAAAAGGTGTGATATTGATCTTTGGGAGCGATCTTGTCAAGTAAATACTTGATTTAGGACCCTGTACATGACAGATGTACCGGAAGATAGCATTTACATACCTTGTGTAATGATGGGACTTGTTAAACGTCTTGGAGCAATGTTTGCATGAATACAGTTTATTTTCTTCCTCCAAGGGTCTTGTAAATCCTGTGGACAAATATTTAAACAATTGTTATAATGTGTATTTGGAAATAAATAATATCTTTTTATTGGAGGTAGATAATTTATTGTTTCTTTTTAACTTCCTTTTGGCATCCAATAACAAAAAAATATTCAAATTTTCTTTGGTTGAATATACATACTGCTGTGACTATAAAATCATATTTTTATATTAACTTTTACTGGAAGCAAATGGTATTTATATCTACCCTGAATGCAATTTTGCATTACATTACATAAAATTTTAGTATTAATACTTACCCTTAGTGTTGCGTTTCATGACATTTTTTGGGCTATCTTCATTATTTTTACTGGTGATCAGTTTTATGGAGGCTGTATCACCTTTGGATTCATCATCAGAACCATCACCTTCAACCTGTTATAAAATAATTGTATAATAATATCGCTTATTTATTACTTCTTTATTTATTGAAAAGCTTCAAGTATTTTAAAGATGAATAATTATCTGCAATTTACAATAAGTATCTTTTTGTTCCATGGTTTGATATATATCCACCAACTTTTTAATATGGTTCGGATTAAGGAATATAGAAATTTATATAACATATATTAATGTTATACCATTACATTAAAAACATTTTCATCCTCCTCTTCTTCGTCGCTTTCAGATATATTGTGCGTACTGATTTGAACTGTAGCACCACCTTCTAACACAGTTTTTATTTCTTGCTCTGATGAACTTTGATAGGCCTAAAACATTAATTTTGATATTTAATAAAGGTATTTTCACAGACAATGCTATTTAATCATTGTCAATAATTACTTTGATAAGTGATGTTGGCCAAGAAACAGGCTCCAATGGCATGCCATTCTGAGTGTACTTCAGAATTCTCTCATCTGCTTGGCGCACCATTTGTTTGTAAGTGTAAAAAAGATTCATAAATACTTTGCATTGGCTGCAAATATATCGTGGCATTCTATCTGAAGGGAAAACCTGCAATATTAATTTTACACATCAATATACACATATAAAATTGTATATTAACAAATATAACATTTCACAATGTACTAGTATTAAAATCTTGTCTACTAGGTGGCGCTTTGCGTGACCGAATCGTATTTTATAAATTAAACTATAAAATGCAGAGCAGAAGCCTATTTTTATTGGATAACATTACTCCTTTTATTATTTGAAAATGTACTAAAAAGAAATAAATCCACGGACTAACGTTAATAATTGGTGTAAGTCTTTGTTTTATCAATAACATTCGGCGCCATTATGCCAAGTAGACAGGAATAGTTCTATTTATTTTGTGGCGTGAAAACATAATATGATAGCTAATAAAGTAAGTATTGTAAACGTTATTTTTTATAATTTTTAAAGTATTAAAATTACCTCAATAGAGACGCATGATAGGATTTTTAAAGGAAGATCAACAGTTTTCTTTGATGGAGGTTGCCTGCGATACAGACTCCCCAGCGAAGAATTTTTAGCTAAACAAAATCTGCACACTTTCATGGCACTTAAATGTTCTTTTCTTTTCTCCATTTTTCTATTAAATCACTCAAACTATGTATTCACATAAAACATAACCTCGTCACGACAACAGAAATGTTTTACTTGCTATTAGCGGCAACTACTAGCAGCGCCACATTTACATTTTGCGGACGCGGTATGAAAACTTCTTAACAGCGCTCCAAGTGGATGGAAGCAAAAACATTGTATTCTTTTGCTAATACAAATAACACTGTAGAAGAATTGCAATGAATCGCCGATGGATTTCGCTTCCAACCTCCGAATTACAAATCAGTTAACATTTAAGGCCAGGCAGGCTTAGGTTTATAATAACCGATAATCGTTGTATTTTAAAGACGAACTCCTTTGACAAAATAAAATTGTACATAACATTGTCATTATTGGTAATTTTATTTAACATCAGTTTACGTTTTTATATCTACAGATTTGAAAGTAAATAGTTGTAGATTGTAGGAGACAGCATGCAGTTAAATTAATTGTGCATCTCTACTCGATAAAAACACCAGCCTCTATGTATTTATTTTATAAATATGGATGCTTTTTGCACCTTCGCATATGTATGTCCATAGAACATCTTATGAATGTTTTATCACAATAAAGCAACACATATACAAAGATATAAAGAAGATAGACAACAAACATTGATTTACATGAAATTATATAATTCAGATGTAATTACAAACGCCATCTAACAAAAAGATGATATAGCTGTGAATTATATATACGATACTCAAAAGATGGCGCAAATTAATTATTTACATATCATTACTCTCACGTGTAACTCGGAGAGGTATGCTGGGGCAACGGATTATCATATGGCGTGATCCTGTCACACATCTCTTCCTTTTTACATCCTACAACAACGCACACATTCTCATCGGTACACCTTAATATCCCTGGAAGTTTTCCATTGTTTTTGTAAGAACTTTTCGTCGTCCTGGTTTTTTTGACAACACTGATATGTTTTCGCATAGATGTTTTAGTTGTAAAAACACATGGTAACACATCGCAATGATAGATCTCGCTTGTAATTATTTTTAGTGTATTGTTCATATTGAGAGAGAACCAAGTTTAATACATAATTAATAGGTAAATACGGTTAATAACAGCAAATGTTATAAACATGAATGTCTTTTTAATTGATTGTCTATACAATAACATTATTTATATTTATCATTTGAAAGATTAGATATAAATGTCGTAGATTAAAAAGATTATAATGAATTAAGTAAAGAAAACAACTGCTTTAAAACATTCTATTCGTAGGAAATGTGAAAAATAAAAAAGTAGTGTAAAATGAGTGGTTTTTACGACTTTGCGCCCAATTTTCGGGATTCGACTGACGGAAATGGCAACGGTATGCCTGGCACCCGAAATATCCCAAAATCATTTAAAATGTAAGTTAAAATAAAATGTTGGTGTACATATTTAATTACTTTCTTTATCTTTTGGGATCAAAGGTGCGTATCAACAATCTTGATCTGTTAAAAATCGCTAGAAAAGTACAGATTACTAAGAAGTATATGTTTTTATTTGGATAGATTTTTTAAATCAGAATTTCAGATTGCCAATTTGCTTGAAATAATATCTCATGCCTCTTTAGGTAATTAAATTGATACCCAAGGTGGGTATTTTTGGGTCTATTTTGATATAGAATATGATAGAATATAATTGAATAATGTACAAATCTTGGGACTGTTATGTTGTTGCAGGTGGCGTTCGACTTCTTTGAGTAATCTTGTCAGCAATTCGAATAAAAACCGAGGCTATGTGTATGAATCGGCCCCTTTTGACAATAGTAAATACGCTAGCACCGAGAGTTTGACTACGTTGTCCAGTTATAAGGTAACGACAATGTATTATTGTACTTATAAAAACATAGTAACCTGTGCATTCAACATCAATTATTCTAATTTATTGACAGTAAGATTAAAAAAAGATATTTACGAATACCAAAAAATTGTGAATGTAATAAGCATAGAGGAAGCGAAGCACTAAATACCGCCTCAAAGTCTCTGAGTACGGCAGTTAATATATTAGTTTCATACTCATATTTCAACTGTGTAATTTTTTTAAGTAATTAAATTTTTCAGAGTAAAAAGTCACTTTGGTTACTCAAAGATCTGGAAAATTTTTGGGACAGCTGGGATACGATCGTGACTATAATACTGGTTGCTGCAAAGGATCTTCCGAGACCACCCAACGATGGTACTACACATGAATTGTATGGTAAATTTAGGTAAATCCTTTTTTGTTCAAAGTGTTTATAAATTTTTTTACAAAATTATTTCATAGAGCAAGAACAAACGAAACAAGAAACGTAGAAATATCAAAAAGGAGTTCGTTAAAGCAGAGTTAGCTGTAGTTATTGATCCTTACATTTGACAAGCAACAGTGTAGCAACTTGAACAAGATTATACATTTCCTGTATGTAACGCAGGTTGGGGTCAGAGACATTCAGATCAAAGTCCGTCCTCCATACCCGCCGGCCGGAGTGGCGCGAACGATTCAAATTGCATTTACACAAGGACCATTCACTAAAACTTACATTATGGGATAGAGGACGACAGAAGATTTTTATGGGCAGGTAATACTTCTAATTTTATTTGTGAATAATAATCGTTTAAGTCTCGCCAAAATCGAACAAGACAATTAGGCAGTCAGCAATAAATTGGAAATTATCCACAAAATTATAATCAAAAATCGATTACCACTAAGGGCTTAAATCATAACATGTTTTCCGCGCTTTAAGCATGAAACTGTCAGTTGTTAATAGCTGTCGCCCACGACTCCGTTCCCGTGGAATTAAAGAAACACTATGCTAAATTACACCGGGATCTGTTGAGCCGTTCTATAAACACACTTCCATTCGCATTTATAATATTAGTAAGATTATCATTTTTAACATCATCTATTTGTTCGCAGTTGTGCGTTAGATTTGTCCAAGTTGGAAAAGGAACGCACTCACGATATTTGGCAAGATTTGGACGATGGCTACGGTTCCGTACATTTGTCAGTGACAATGTGCGTTGTCCGCTATTTGCCCACAGCATCGAAAACTATAAAGACTGACTTACAACATGAGCAGGTATGTTAACCACATTTTATTTTCTAATACATTTGTTTTATATACTTTGATTTGGTTAAAGTTATTTCTTCTTAAATCCATCCATCGTTTTTAAGTCTGATGGAAATGTGTTTGTCTGTTTTTTTATTCTTTGCTTTAGGATAAGAGTTACAGTATGATGCCAGCCTATAATCTATGCTAGGTCTGAGGGGAAGGGGACTGGCTAATAGTAAAATTCTTTTTTTTATTCTAAAGGAAAAGCTTATCGACATGTGGCCCTGTTTTATAATGAAAAAGTGACAAGTAGTTTTTGAGTTATCAATGTGGATATATAGGGATTTCATCTTTGTATTTCGAATTAGTTTATTAGTTTATACATCTATTTAACTATTTTTTTATTATAGCTTTATCTGGCGATGCCTATGTCCATACGTATATGTTATATAGTCTCTCGTAGATTGGAACAGCGACTGGAGACTGGTAGGTTGTCTGAAGGTGAAGGTGATCCGAGCTAAAGGTCTAAGCGGGAAGCCTAGCGCGTACTGCACGCTGGAGCTGGATAATGAACGACTGCAGACGCACACCGCCAGCTCCGGACCAGAACCAGTCTGGGATAAGAGCTATGTATTGTAAGGCGTAATGAAAATTTAATTGACTACAAAAAATAGTGCATGATAATTTGAACTGATTTCAACAGTCACATGAGATTCACCTTTATTGCACAGACACATTTTTTTTCTTATTTCGGGTTTGTGCATATCCTTATTTAAAATGCATTGTTATGTATTTTTTTCGCCTATTCTTTTCATTAGTTTTTTATATATTCCACTTAATTTTTTTATTAAAGAAAAGGTAACGTTTTTAAATTGTAACATATTTTCAGTAATGTGTACGACGTGACTTCGGTCCTTACATTAAAGATATACAGTAGTTCGTTGACGAATGCCTTCCTGACTGAACTCCTGGGTCAAGTATCGATTCCATTGCTCAAGATAACGAATGGTGAAACTCGATGGTACGCTTTGAAAAATCGAAACAATCGTAACGTAGCTAAAGGAAATTATCCAAGAATTTTATTAAGAATGAATGTAACATGGAATCCGGTAAGATTATTTTTAATGAGAGCAATAAAAAAAACAATATTCTCCTGATTATTTAAATATTTTCAGATCAAAGCAACACTACGACTATTCCAGCCAAAGGAAGTAAAATATATAGAAGCACCACCGAAATGGGATATATTACTTCTAATGAGAAATCTGCCCATTTTCGTGGATTATTTCCATAGTATTTTGTACTTTAATGAAATATTTAAGTAAGTTTAAACAATAAAAGCTAGATGTAAAAAATTGTGCTATGACTGCGCTTATAAGTTTATCCTATATTAGCTGTCGCCCGCGACTCTGTCTGCGCGGAATTATAAAAAAAATATACTTGTAGCCTATGTGTTCTTACAGGGTACGTTCTACATCTATGCAAAATTACAGCGAAATCTATGCAATCCTTCCGGAGATCACTTCAAACAAACATCCTTCTATCCATCTGAACATTTGCTTTTATAAAATTAGTAAGATTTTATTTTTTATTTTAGGAGGTTATTTGAATGGAATAACAGAGAAATGTCGGCTATTGCATTATTTTTTTGGTTAATGCTATGTTATCACCTGACACCGTCTGCAGTTCCGCTTATGTTATTGTTAGTTTTCATCTTCTTAAGAATTTATACGTGGATACAAGGTAATATGCGTTAGAAATAATTTAATTTATAACACAATATAATGATACTTACGGTGAAGGAAAACATCGCGATGTATCCTGCACATACCTGAGAAGAGATTCAAAGATATGTGTGAAGTCAACACGCACTTGGCCAACATGGTCTAGCTAAGGCCTAACTTAGGGTAGGCTCCGAGCCCTGATAATAATTATTTCAACTTATACTTTTATAGGTAACAATTATTTTATCGATTGTGAAGAGGAAATCGAACCTGAGAACAATTCAAATAACAATCAAAAGGTAAGATCTAATCATGCTATAAGATTTGCGACAAAACATAAAGAAAAACATAGGATAAATGTAAAATGGGGGAAGTCTACGAGAAAATTTTGATATTTTTCTAATTACTTTTTATTTACACTTTTATACAATATTAGAGAATCTGGCGCGAATGTCGCGCTTTCGTTACCAAGTGTCAGATTGATTAGTGAGGGGACGTTGATATTTTAATAAGGCTAGTGTTGCGCCGAAACACCGGCACAGTGTCGGATTTTCTTCGTAACAATACTTATCTTTATTTTTTAGGACAATAAAGGATTGACTTATAAAATAAATGACATGCAAGAAATAATTATAACTGTATCAAACGTACTAGCACTTATTGTATCATTAGTGGAAAGATTAAAAAAGTAAGTCGATAATAACCAGTTATATCTTGCAATTTGCTTTTTGTTTTGGAGAAAAATAAATAATTTATAATTTCAGCTTAATTACATTCCAAGTACCATTCTTAAGTTACGTTGTGATGTCAATATTGGCTTTACTATCTCTGATGTTGTATTTTCTACCTTTCAATTATTTGCTTATGTTATTTGGTAAGTAATATCTTCTAATCAATGTGTTTTTTATTTAATACTAGCTGTCGCCAGCGACTCTGTGCGAAATCAAAAAAATCTTAATTAGTAGGCTATAGTGTGTATAGTTGCTATAGTGTGCACAATGTTCTTCCAGACTTTGTTCTACATCTATGCATTCTGGAGATACCTTCTAACAAACATCCATCCATCCAAACATTTACAATAGAATAGAATATTTATTTAGAATACAATAGACATTTACATTTATAATATTAGTAAAATAGTAAGTGAATACAGTAAATTATGTATTATGTATATGAAATAAAACACGAAAATGCTTGTTTTAGGTATTTATAAATTCATGAGGAAGTACTTAAACCCAGATAGAATATTAAATAACGATTTAGTTGATTTTATATCAAGGATACCCGACGACAGAATATTGGTAACGTACACAAATATTTTTATTATCACATAATTTCCGCCACAAGTATATGCAGCACTTAAACATTATTCATTCTAATCTATTCCCATTATATTATCACACAACTTGTCGAGGTCATATTATCTGGTCAATGACCCTTGGTCCATAGACATTACTATACATAGATTATACCAAAGAAGAACATAGACAATTCACGTTCTATTTTAAGATAAAAATAGAACAGATTGAAATATTGCTGTATGGTAGACATGAGATATCGGCTTACTAAAATAAATCTATACTAAGGACTTCCTTTGTGACCAGGACTCTGATTATGGAGATTTATTTATAACTGAGTTAGTATCAGTAGAAGCCGTTAGATTTCGAATTCTAGAACGTTCTATAACCATCGACAATTTCAACCAAATAGTTACTTCGTACAATGCTGCCATTTGACTTAAATAAACAACTAACTAACCATTGTACCAACTTATAATTTAATTTTGTTCTACAGAAAGACTGGAAGGAATTGAATGTCCCCGAACCAGTGATTTGAAAGGAAAAAGGCAAGATCCGGCGATACTAACACTTGGCTAATGTTTGACAATTTATTTCTGTTTTTTTTATGGTCATAATAGAAAAATGTTTTTTTAATTTTATATATATCTTTTCTTTGTTAATTATTAAAAATTTGTACAGTCTTAAAAGTTTTCTTTCGCTTTTTTAACCTGAATATTTATATACAAATTTTGATATATTGAGTCAATAGTTGAATTGTCTTTCTGTTACTAATACTTACATAATTATTTTACTCTACAACTAAAAATGCATTGTGAGTGCCTGACAGATACACTTCTTTACAATGATGTGCTTCATAAACTGAAAAAACTTAGCGTAAGTTTCTGAATACCAAGACATCTTAAGTCAAACATAATAGTAACCAAAGTTATCATCGTATTTCAAAGAAAACGAGAGGGATAACAATATGTTTTTTACAACTGTTTCGGCAATGAAAACTCACGTTAACATGACATAAACAAACAAGTATGTGATTTTCTATGAGATTTATCACATTGATTGCTAAGTAACTTGACTAAGTTTTTCATTATGTATAAAACGCAATGCAAAGAAGTGTAACTGATTTCGTTTGACTGATTTTAATATTACATAATTCTTATAGGTACTTAATACAACTGTACATGGAACATTAATAAATTATTACGCACTAAAACGATCACAATCTTCATGTACCCTGCGCTGTACACGTAGGGTAGTAAGAAAATCTACTCTGATTATGGCACTACAGTCTACAGATTCCTGGATATGTCATGCACTACCGTCTTTTCATCGAGTCAGACCTGCTGATACTCGATTCTGTTACTTTCAGCTCCCGCCATTGTTTCTGTAAACCAAATATAAATTAGTTTAAGTTATATAACATCACTAGCTGTTGCCCGCGGCTCCATCCGTGCGAAATTAAGGACAAACTGAATTAGTAGTCTATGTGTTCTCCCCGACTATGTTCTACATCTATGACTATCACCGAGATCCCTTTAGCCGTTCTGGAGATACCTTCTAACAATATCTATCCATCCATTTAAACTTTCGCATTTATAATATTAGTATGAAGTCAGATGTACGACTAGATAGAACCGATTGCTTCAAGTAGGAACATGGCTGACTTTTGAAAAAAGAAAGAAATTATTGCTCACTGGTAACCTTAAAACTTAAAGGCAGCCCTAGGTTAAAGTATGATACAGAAATACCTTTGATATAATAATGTATCTTTTATTCTTTTATTAAGATAAGAATGTGTCCTACTTTAAAAAAATTGTGAGATAAATTGCTTACCAAAATCTCATTGTCTGGAACACGTGATATGAAGTCTAGTATGTCATTGTTAGGAACTCTGTTAGGATTCATAGCCTTCCTTGTAAACTTGTATATACCTGAAACATAACACATTTTAACATTAACATAGTTATTTTTTATCTAATGAACACAATATGATGCCGCTGTTTCGTAATTTATAACCGTAACAAGATTATCAACAATTCAAAGATCACCCAGTTCAAACTAAATTGTTGTGTAAAGGTCTCTAATCTATTTATATCTATAGATAAGTATACAACGCATAGGTCACTTCTTGGTAATGCCAGCTGTTGCTTCGTACCAACTTTAAAGTACCAGTTGAAGTTACTGACGGCTAGCTGTGGGTTTCCGAGACCGAAATCCTCGTTTAAAACATATTGTTATACAGAGATTTTGGTCTTAGAAACCCAAGGTAATTCTATCCCAATAATTAATTTGAGTTTCGCTTAGCCGCTACATAGTCAGCGTAAAAAGACCAATTAGGCACAAAGTTCAAGGGTTTCAGGCTATCCAGTGAAATATAGAGTTCAATAGAAGAGGTAGTGAGGGATAGGTTATGTACAGTAGCCTTATTTCGCGATACTCTAGTTACCGAAACCTTTCATTGCAACGAATGAAAACCCTGATTGACGAATAACCAATACCTAATAAACACATTTCAAAGTAGGTTCCAAATGTTTTTTTTTTCGTTTCAAGACGTATTAAAGCGATCAAAGTGGAATACCGTCATCAAAGGCCAGTGTACTTTAAAAAAAAGTCCTTGGGTAATGACTTTTAGGAAGTCATTTGTCAGAACGGCTCAGCGTTAACATATAAAACAAAATGGTGACCTAAAGTCAACAAACGACCTGTTTTGTAGGTACGAAGTTCAAAATTAGCATTTAGAGATAAAGCACGTATTTATGTTTTTGTTTATTGTTATTTGTAAATCTGTCAGACACGATCATCATTAATTTTAAATAAATATTTTTATTATATTTATGAGTATTCTCGATATTATATCTCAAGATATTAATTTAAGACAAAAGGGTCACGAGTCATGACTTTGGAAATAAAGTCTACGTAAAAAAATGACTTACCTAATGCCATAAATAGATAGTTGACAGGTATCACGTAAAACGCAATTGAAGCAATTGTTAACCCAATTATGGCTAAATAACTTAAATACGGCACACTGAAGTTAATCAAACTGAAACAAAAGACAATTTAAATGGTAATCATTAATATGTAATGTTTTATTAAACACTAGCTGACCCTGCATCCTTTGAAATGGCAGTTGATTTAGAAAACGATGCCAAATATTACTAGTATTGTAAATGCGAATGTTTGGAAGGATGGATGATGTTTGTTAGATGATGCCCGGAACAGCTTAACGGTTCTCGGTGAAAATTAGTATAGATATAGAATATAGTCTGGAATACGGTAGCGGACAAAAGCTTGAAAAGAACAATAGTTTAAATGACTTACTTTTTTAATCTTTCAATTATTGAAACGATGTAGTCGATACCATTTTTAATAGTAAACGTCAAGTCCTGGAGCTCGTACAAACGTGTCGATATTGTTTTGTCATCCTGCAAAAAAAATGCATGAAAACACCAATATATCTATTGAAGTGTCCAACAATTTGTAGTAGAGTAGAGTGTAGAGTCTGCAAATGCAATATGTTGGTAACATAGACCGATTTCTGAGATTAATAAAGCTTATAATACTTTTGATGTCGTTACAATGACAGAATAAAATTACAAAAATTAAAAATATAAAATGACTCGGTAGTGTGTATTGCAACAATATTTAAACTAGTGCGCAAGCGCAGAAGAAAGATCCTTACTCATTTAAATATTTACATGTGTTGTTAGTCATAACCGTACATTTTAAATTTCAAAATTTTCCTTTACCTTTTGTATTTCATTATCCTCTTCTGATGTGTCTTCGTCAGTTAGAATCGGAAGAATTTGACTGCAATTGTTTCCTGCTTTACAAATATTATACATGTTAATAAAAAATAGCAAAAATATAAGCATTAAGCTAAAGTTAATAGTTAAAAAATTCACCTCTATACATCACCCAGTATGGAAGGAATGGTACTATCAAAAGGAGAGGCATCATCCACATCCGAAAGAAGTACCAGAATAAAAGCCATGCTCCTAAAGCTAATGCCGATTTCTCTCTGTTGTCCCATTCAAATATATTTCTGTAAGGAAAATAATGAACTGATCACAAAGCTCATGAATTTCAGTAACGCAAATATGATAAAAATAATAAATATTTTTTATGAACTCTAGTTTGTTATTAAATTATTCAAACTTTCATGAGATATTATTATAATACGTGAATTTTAGTCGTTTTTATATAAGTCTATAGTTTGTAACGTTTTGTTAGAGTTTCAAGAACCGTAGTGTACAATGTACATAACAATGGAATTACTTTAGTAAAAAAAACGTTATTTCCTGCGTTCTGTTGGTTGGCTCCTAATTGCGACGGTAATCAGTCAACTAGTTTTTTTTTATATAATTAAGTGGTGAGACAAATACGACATTCGTCAACGTGTACAAATTGAACATCGCGTTTCGCTAAAATGTAATGTAGCTGACCGAAGTATAATTGACAGATTGCATGTAGGTTCTTAATAGTAGTAAGAAGGTGGTAAAAAATGCAAGCGGTCAAATTATATAACCAGACCGTAGACGCTGCTACGGATTCTACTATTGTAAGTCTAAAAGGTCATGGAATTCAAAATTATAAACCTTTTTTTTAGAAAACTTGTGCTTAACGATCTAAAGAATATTTTTGAACAAGTTTCCACAAGGTAAGGTAATAATGGCTGTGACCAAAAAACGCTCATTAGCGGAAACCGACAAAAAAGATGACGCGTATAAGCGCTACAGTTACGATCTTTCTGTTGAAAAAGTCTTTGCAAAAAATATATCTTTAAAGTTATAGAAATTTGTATCCTTAATGTGTTGTGGTATATTTTGTACAATTTTAGTACAATAATGTATGCGCAGTGTCAATAATCTGGCGTTGTGACAAAAGATAAAAATGTTTGTCAGGAAGCGTGTGGGCAAACAGACTTTTATGACATTTACGAATGGATATTGTAATGGAAAAGATATTTGCTTTAAGTTACATTATTTATTGACTTTGTGAGACTGCAACACGAATATTATTTATTTTATTATAAATTCATCTATATTTATAAATAACATTTCTAATTATATTTTACTAATATTATAAATGTGAAACTTTGGATGGAAGGATGATGAATGGATGTTTGTTACATGTATCTCCGTAACCGCTCAACGGATCTTGATAAATTTGGTACAAATGTAAAGGCTAATGAGTTGTTTTTTGCGCGAATGAAGTCGTGGGTGACAGCTAGTTTAGTCTAATTTAATCGGTGCAATGTACTAAATACGATTACTCACTTGAAATATACATTTCCTAGGTATATGTAGTCGAATACAACTTTGATAAACTTCAAATTATTGTATATCAGTGGGATACTGAATTTCGGTGGTTTTTCAACGTATTTAGTTGGCTTTGGACTTAGTACTCGTAACGATGCCTTTATCTAGAAGAAAAACAAGGTTAGTTAAAACATGGCTTCTTCATAAACTGACTAAACAATTCTATGTTACGGTAAGAAAAAATAAGAATCGAATCACAGCTGAGATTTCAAAACTGGTCAAGCCGCTTACGCTGCAAAAGGCCACAATGAAACGGACGTAAGAAAAACATCAATGCCTATCATGACCCAACCTAAAATAATACTACGTAGTGAATGAAATATTAGTTCCACAATACGAGCAGGTTACTATGATCTTTTCATTAAATGTTAATTTGCTTTGGTATCTCTTTAATACCTCATTATAATTTTAAAATTACCGGATTCCATTCCAAAGACATTTCTAACAGAATTCTGGGACAATTTCCTTTGGCGCTGTGCTTTTTCGATCGGTCCTTCAATGCGTACCATTTCTTCTCGTTGTTATTTATCCTCAATAGAGGTATCGATATTTTGCCAAGGGTTTCCCCTTTCATTGACTGTATTATTGATTCGTCATAAATTGTAATGTCCAACGTCGACGTCACGTCATTGATATTGCTGCAAAACAAAATATTATAACATTTCAAAAACTACTATGTTAAGGGAGCACCAAAAAATTTGCCCTAAAAATGTACCAAAAAAAGAAATATTTTTATATTTAATGAAACTTTTTACTTGCAAACTTACAATATGAAGTTCTTGTTCCAGGTAGGGTCGCTAGAGTTTCGGACGGCGTGGGTCTGTACTCTCGCGTTGTCCACCTCAAGCACGCAGTACGCATCAATGCTGCCATTGAGACCTAGCGAGCTTAAGCCCCTGGCGCCGTGTACGGTCACCGATAGCTGACCCACTTCGTTCCAATTATTCTCCAAGCGATACCATGTCTGTATATAAAGTTAAAGTAAAATGTCAGTCAATAAAATGCAATAGAGTGATATAAATGCTAGGATGACAAACTAGCCATCCGTTAACTTCCAACAAAACTTATGAACCCACTGGGATCTAACGTAAACCCGTCAGGGCTTAGTTGTCGGGAAATAAAGGTTCACAAGTTGAATAAGAAATGTAGCAGCAACGGTTTGCAAACACAAGTAAAATATTGAAAGCGGTTTACAAGAAAAAAGTGCGAACCTCTGCTTTATAAGTTTCAAATTAGACATTTATTTAACACATCTATACTGACGAGAATAAGAATATTTTTTTTTATTTCAATTATTCAGAGTGTATTCAAGTGCAAAAACTTACAATAGTGTGTTTATATTGTGACGACAATTTATTGTTTGGTTCATTAAAAGTTTATGTTAAAAAAAATGAGAATCAATAGTGTGTGCAAAAAGGTCGATATATCTTGACAGTACTGACGTCATATAAGCAAGAAGTGCGGGCAAACAGGGCGACCTCAAAATACGTCAGAGATGTAGGAGGAGGCTTGCGCATTTCGTATTTATGATTTCATCTTATAAAAACTCCTAATACGACTTTATAAGGAAATATGTAATTTTATCCATTATATATTGGTTTTATCTGATTTTTTACTTATTATAGAATACATTAAATAGATTAAAAATAACATTTGCAAGAATTACAAATTTAATTTATTTTATTTCTCGTCACTTACGCACTTCTTTTAATTCCTGAATAATTTTATTTAATGTTATGTAAGAATTAATTAAAATTATCTTTTGATTTTTATTTACACACACAAACACATTTTACTATTCTTTATTATTGTAATTACTGAAGAACTGAATTAAATATATAAAACTTTATACTTATTTGCATGCTGCAGAAAGTGATTGATTACCTTTATTACTCGACTTAACGTTTGTTTTTGATACACAAAATCTTTGCATAAAACTTACAGTCATCTCTGTCATTATCATTGACAAAACAGAGATAACAGTATATTTTAAACGGAGATTTTGGTGTCAGAAACTCACGCTGAGGGAAGGGTAAATAGATAAGGAGTAGGAATCTAAATGGCAATCCCCTTTCGATTTCTGCCATCACTTCAAAAAGGAAAGCATATGGAATAATACTCACATATTTCTCCTCTGTTATTGTCGGTTGATGTGTAACCCCGTTGGCTACAGTCAGGTTATCTGTGGAGACGCATCGCTCTGAGCCACCCAGCGTGACCAGCATGTGGAGACTCCCGTATCCGTACTCAAGCTCTTGCCACAGCTCATGAGTCCGCTCTCTTTCCAGTTGCGATAGATCGATGACGCATCTGTTTTTATGGTTGGAAAATTAATCTTTGATAGCAATAGCGATAGCAATGAAAAGATAGAATTTAAAAACAGTAAGATATACATATTAAAACCTGAGGATTCTCAAAATGTTTAGCTATTTCTGATAATGGTGGCTAGGATTCTAATACAAGAATCATGGAAGTCATTTATCATGCATCTTATCAAAACTGACAAATAAACTATAGTCTTCAAAAATTCTGTCATGTTTTACGGGTCGCTCAAGTAAGCATTGCAATTACAAAATAAAATATTTAAGTTTAAGTATTGATATCGTTGTTTAACTTTAAATGCACGCCTTAATTAGGTAACTAATTATTTATTATTGATCAGCTAATTAAATTAATTAAACTAATGTTATTGTGACCCAATTTGATTATATTTCGAGGACATATTTAGTTTTGTTATGATTGGAATTTTTATTACTTAGGATTATTGTTTTCTAAACCTTCTCTATTCCATTGTGTTTTGACAGTGGAAACTGACTTTAAGCCGTACCTACAAATGAAGTCATGAATGTATGGTAAATAAGAAGACGGCAAATTAAATAATATGTAGAGATAATTGAATAAGCAATAAGAACAATTATCTGTAATGACATGTGAGTACTTAAATAATTTTCAATTATATTTTCTTTGAATGCAAGAAATCAGCAAGTACAAAAAATATGTATTATTATTTTGCATAAAATCACAATAGCTTACCTGCCTACAAATGTCTTTTGTTTTCCTTTGTGCCACACTTTGACTTCCAAATTACTGTCCTCATACATGTATAGATTGAATCTTTCCCGCCATTCTGGTTTTGATTTTGTGACTTGTTTTGACTTGTGTGATTCATTACCTAACCTAAAAAAGGCAATTAGAAGAAATTCGTTAGAATTTTTTTCGAACTGTTCCAAATTATTAATTGCAGTCCTTGAAGATTTGTCATATGCTATAAATTCGAAAAAAGTACATTTTTGAAACAGAAACAGACATTATAAGTCAAATAGTCGTTGTGGAGACTTAAATGTATTAAGACTGATTATAAAACTAAATTTTATGTAGCTACTAGCTGTCGCCCGCGACTACATCCGCGCCGAAAAAAAATCAATAATTTAGATGAAACTACCCTATCTTCCAAGTTGGACCAAATTACAGATGCTTACAAAATTTTATAAGAATTGGTTGAGTAGTTTCGGAGTTGGCTGCCGACATACATAGTGACACGAAATTTTTATATATTATTTATAAGATGTACATACATCATTGTTAATGACTATTGAATAGAATACTTAATCATACTTAACTGAGACATGTAATTAAGTGATACAAGAAAAACATAACATACAACTTAATGGATGTGATAAAAGTACCAATAGTAATTGAGATAAGTAAATAATACGGTAGCTACACGATAATTTGCATTAAGTTACGTCAAGTTCAGTCAAGTTCAAGTAAATTATGAAAACTTTTAATCTTATGAATATTATACATGCAAGTGGAAATTTTTCTATTGTTTTTGTTTTCTTCTTAACATATAATAATATGTATATTATATTTATTATAATTTTCTTTCTCTTTGTTCTTACGGAAATATTGATTAGAAAAAAATAGTAAGTTAAAGTTATGTAATAATATCGTCGTGAAATATTGATAAGGATTTTTGATAACATACAATGTTTTTTTTTTGTTAATTCATTGAAAGTTGAATACTTTGTAGAGTGTAAGGAATCCTTTTATTTTTCATAACCAGTTATTATGTGTGTGAGTATCTTAAAATGTTTAATGACTCACCTAAATTTGCAGTAAAGGCCATTTGTATTGGATGAAATTTCATCTGGCAAGTCTTTGGCATCCACGAGAACAATATTCACTTGAGATTTCAATGATTTCTTGGTAACATCAAGTTTTTTGCTCTTCCATAAATACTGCAAAACAACGGTTGTAAAATACGGACGGTTATAAAAAAAGTTAAGTTTTATGAACCTTACTTTAATTTAATATACATTATTAAGATGTTGGCACAATTCAGTGTTAAAAAAATACATACCTTTTGTACTTTTTTCCCGTGGTCTCTTAAGAGAGTCAGTCCACTACCGATTCGGTCCATAAAGTCGGATGAGACCGCAAGCGCGGTGGGCGCGAGCGGGTCCATCGCGAAACTGTCCGGAATTGGAATTGACCTGCCGCAAACAGAATAACAAAAAAACAAATGAACAATATTGTATACAAAAAAAAAGTGAACCGGACTGATTTTGAGGCCAGTTGTACACTCCGAGGAAACATACAAAACGAATGATATCTCATCGTTTAAAACAGTATTTCCCAAATGGGGCGATAACGCCCCCTTGTGGGCACTGCAGGTCTCAAGTTGCGGGTTATAGTAAAAGTTTCGTTTAGAATTCTCCGTTAATATACATATATAGTTCACATTAATTAATTAATTTAATTTGAAGATATAGTGGAATTAAATATGTGATTGTAAATAGGTCTCTATACTATCGGTATGGGTGTATGAAAATAAATCCTAAAACTTTTGCAGATCAAGATTCTTTTAATATAAAAGGTAGAGGTCAACCTGTTTGTTTTAGTTCCATAAAAAACACAAGACTGTATTAGGTTACAGTTAAATCATTATTACTATTATCTAATAGAAATAAAATGATAACTTAAGTTATGAATATCCAACACAGACTTTGATCTAAGTTTTTGCTCCATTATTGAACATACAACTTCAAAGATTTGCATATTAAACAAGAGTAAGTACTAATGCTCGTTGTATTTGCTATGCTCTTTAGTATTTTTTAATCTTTTATATGTGGTCAATATTATTATATTTCGTATCATCGTATAACTTAATATGTTTGCTTTAACAAGAGCACAAGCCTATTATGAATACAGATTCATATTATTAAATATGTAGGCATATTAACATAAAATTCTGTTTTTGTCTTGGAATCTAAACGCAAAGTAGCATGAAGAAGTTTATTTCTAAATCTGTATTTAATTATTGGATAAACCAAGTTACGCTTCGCTGTGTATTCAATTTTTTTTTATAATATATTGTTATAATAATGGAATATACCTACGTATAAAACAGTTTTTGGCTTAAATTGAAACTTTTTTATTATTTAACGTTGTCTAACTGTTCATATAAATCTGTCGCGTTTTTGTAATATTTAAAATACAAAAGATTATTTATACAGATAAAGACGAAAGACCTTTTGCTGCGTATTTTTTAATTAATATACTTACCAATTTAATAACTACATTTAATAAGTAAAAAGGGCCTTGACAGACAGACGGACGGACTACAAAGTGATCCTATAAGGGTTCCGTATTTTTCCTATGAGGTACGGAACCCTAAAAATAAGCTTTTAATTTTAAAGCACAATCTTTAATTAACCTGATGAATGTGGATGAAAAGAAATATTAATGATGACTGAAAATTATTTAAATTAATCGTTTTGAAAATATAAATGAATAAAATTCTATTTCTAAATATGTGAAAAACTTATAGCACGTGTAACATAACCGTTTGTAATAATTTAAACGTTCTACAATATTTTAACATCTATACACTTAATAAAATTTGTAGTGTTTATATGTAATATCGAAAGAAAAATCATATTCGTATATTTGCGTTTCTGATAACGAAAAAGCACTTTTTTAAAGTTTCCTCAATATCTGACTGTATATCGGCAAGGTCGTGTTTGTTCCGGGTAATCTCCGGAGTGGCAAGACCGATTTTGAAGGGAAATTGACGGCAAGGTAGCTCTGCACGGGTTTTAAATCTGTGCTGACGAAGTCGCGGCGAAGTTACGGTGTTTTATTTTCACAAATATTATTATAAGGTAATATTTGCTAATTACAGAGTTTTTTTATATATTAAAACTCCTTCCTAATTACCTGACCTACGAATTCTTTCATTAATTTTTTTTAAATTGGTCATTTTAAAACAAATTGGCAAGGAAATGTTTTAAAACAACCATGACATTTAAAACGGAGCTACAGCTGCTATTGTGCGTGTATAAAGTTTAAACTTCCTATTTGTAATTAAAAAAAATAATAAAATACGCAATAACATATTATTGCAGTTGGACAGAATAACATTCTTATAAAACACGTTTAACTCCTCAAGTAGACTTTCAAAACTTATTAAAAGAAACCTTGGATAATATTAATTTACTTATTTTATTTATTTAAAGGTCTTCCAATCTTTTATTAAATTACAAATGTGATATACGAGTTTCGGAATACTGGGTAAAGTAAAAAATATTGGCTTATAACTTTATTTAAGCCATCATGCGAAATAATTAACCTCGATTCGATCTTCTCTGTTTAAATTGTATAAAATATAAGTATGATGTGCACAGATGTTAGCCTTGGCCATGACTACATTGCCAAATACGAAAAACTTTACATCTCCAAACACTGCAAATCCCGCAGCAAACCAGGTCGTTGAACTTTTATAACATAAAAGATGTTATGACTGAGCGTTTTCTTATTTAATAAGAACACAAAACAACAGTTACTGTTGACCTTAGGGTATATATGTAGTGTAAGGAAATAAATCCGACACTGTGCCGGAGTACTGGCGCAATACTAGCCTTACTAAAATGTCGAAGTTTATGTCCCTTCACTAATTCTAAATGATTCTGAAACTTGACTTTGTAATGGAAGCGTGCCATTGGCGCCAAAGGATTCTAACTAATAATGTCTGAAAATACTTTTTTGCTTTGTGAAACACAAAGAAAACTAATGCAGGCTATATGCATTCCTATGTGACTCCGTCCGCACGGATTTAAAAAAGCTCAATAAGTTATAGTATTATATATAATATATTCCTATATATAATACTTCATATATATGTATGTATCATATATGTATTCTTCTAAACTATGTGCCACATTTGTGCCAAATTTCATTGGGCTTCTTTGAGCTGTTCCGGACATATCTTCAAACAAACATCCATTCATCAATCCATCCATATAAACTTTCGCATTTATAATATTAACTAGCTGTCGCCCGCGACTCCGTCCGCGCGGGATTAAAAATAGATGATGGCCGATTCTCAGACCTACTCAATATGCTCACAAAATTTCATGAGAATCGGTCAAGCCGTTTCGGAGGAGTATGGGAACGAAAATTGTGACACGAGAACTTTATATATAAGATAACATTAGTTTTTTTTTAATTCCGCGAGGACGAAGTCGCTGACAAAAGCTTGTTATTTATTTATGTCAATAGTGAAAAAACATATTTTTTTAATTTTTAATTCATTAAGTTCTATGTAAAAAAATATTATAAACAATGCTTTTTGCCATTAACAGTAATTGCTCATTGTTCTTACAACCTAAAAACGTTTTCGGTATCGTAAGCTCCGTTTTCTTTCAAATAATTTACCTGTTGAGATAATTGTATTCAAGATTATCCATTATCTTCAACTGTATTTTGTAGTTTACCAAATAATTAGTTTTTTTAATATTTACATATATTAACTAATTGTGCACGTAAAGATCTAATTAGTAGTTATATATTTTACAAGCTAATCCTGTGCCGCGTAATCCGCATAATCTTCATTGACTAAGTTTAATTCAAAAAGTGACAATAAAATCTGCGCAAAACTCAATTTTCTTTAGCAGCGAATATTGTCATTTGCGTAAAATGCAATTTCCACCTCAAAAAATTACTGGTCCTATCTCAACTTGTAGATAAACTTGTAAAAAATTTATTAAGATTACAAATTATAAATAAAAAGAATACGTATTTGCGTATACACAATTATGTACGCTTTGAGCTTGTCTCGTATTGCATGTGAACGTTAAATTAAAAAGGTAGAAGAAAGTCTATTGTTCGAAATTCCACCATAATTTAGATTTTTTTTTATTTTGTTTTGATGAAAACTAGCCATTGGTAGTTCCGTTTCACATTAAATATTAGTTTAAATCCTTCCGCAATTTCCTTAAAATTTCATACAAAGTTAACGCTCCAAGTAGCGATAAAAAAATCATTTGAAATAAACCATGTTCAAATTTTAACACGGATACATAATTCACCGTAACTGTGAATGGAAAAATACAGTCGAGATATTCATTTGCGCTGTTCTATATTGTATCGCTTTTTTTGTAGGAAATATATTTTTTGATGAATGTTAGCTAAACGCTAAGTATGGAACGTTTTGAATATACAAATATTAATTAAAAAAACCTTCAGATTATTAACTTCGGCAATTTTTAATCAAACTGCCCATAATTAAAACATGATGAATTGTGAAATTATCTTTAAAATCAAATCTTACTAAGTGGAGTGGATCCATCCATCCATTTTAGGAAGAATGGATATGTCCATATCCAAAACGGTCAAAAGGAAATTTGAACACTCTATTTGGTATAGGTGGAAAATAGTCAGGAAGAACACAGAGGCTACTAAGTTTTTTTTTTTAAGACAAGCGCGCAGACGTAGTCGCGGGTGACAGCTAGTTATTTTGAAAAGATGAGCAAATCTTCGTTTCCAATTGTACAATCGTAATAATTATGAATATGATAAAGTTTTTCGTTATTTGGTTCAATTACTTAACGTTTATTTATAACAAACAATAAATTTCATTGATAACATTGTCTTGGTTGCTTATTGGTTAATCATCTTATTTTTTCATTGTTTGGTAAGCGTGCGAATTTGTAATATTTATAATAAATCGAATTTTTTAAAGTTTTTACGACATTTTTTTGTTGTGTGATCGATCTGATACCTGGAAACTGGATTTTTATGTCTTAAGTGTTCCTGTCAGAATTAACCTTTTATTTAAACATTTCTTTCTACAAAAAAATATGCAATGCACATGATTGTTAATATAAGGTACTCGTAAATCTTCAACCTTCTTCAATAAAAATACTAACAAAGTAAACATATATCCACTGTACGCAGTATGTATGTAGCAGAAAAAATTGTATGTAAATTATTATAGGAAAATCATTCGCTGATTCATAATTCTTTATGAAAAACAAGACGATCAGGCTTGAGTATAAAAAGTAACATAAAAACACTTCGAAATTCATAAACAAAGAACCTTAGTTATTGCGAAATGTTATATCGAAGTTGTTCGAGAATCTTGTTATCGTTACTTTTAATATCGGAGCACGGAAGTTTTAAGTAAAATAAATATTACTATGAGTTTCCACTGTCTAAACACTTGTGCAAAAACATAAAGCTACCTCCGCTTTTTCAGATAAAATGAAAGGGACAACAATAGGATTTGCTTCAGTTGTTTAGTCTGTGGAAATTTACAAACTGACTACATCATTACTCTGTGTAACCTTACGGATTAATTTATTGTTATCGTTTTTATCATGTTTCTTTATTATGAAACTATAGCATACTATCATTTGATTCATATGTCACATTACATTCAATGAATTGCATGTATTTTACACTAACTTTAACAAAATCAATTACGTTAATTCACATTGCTGGGACAAGACAATACTGGACAATACCGACGAACAAAAGCGCAAAAAATACACAACATGAATATTCAACATATAAAAACTTTAAGGAAGTTTCTTTTTTTCCAGCCTTATATTACTCGTGTAATATGTATATAAGCCTAAATTACGTCTCCACAGGGGAGTGTATTTAATAGAAAATGCTTGTAGTTTTATTCTTTTATTAGCTGTGGCCCGCGACATCGTCCGCAAGGAAGGTTTCTGTTTAAAACATATTCTTATCTCTATTTTGTTAAAGATCAAAGACGGAGATGACGACATGTTTTATACAGAGACTTTGGTCTTAGAATCGATTTATGTAAGTGATTTTTGTCGAATGAAAAAATATGTAGTTAAAAATATTTTTATTAAGATAAATTAATAATTTCGTATCTTAGGCGTATAATTATACAGATAAAGCACGTTTATTTTGATTTGAAATAAACTATTATCTTTCCAAGACTTGAGTAATATATAGTTATGAAAATTTTTGACTGAGATAAGAATATAAGATGTAAAGTAATAAGTGACAATATTAATAAAATAAACTGATTATATGTAAATCCGGGAGAAAAATACGAAACGAATGACAATTTACTTTTTAAAATTAATCATGCTGTTTAGGAAGTCACAATATAACGGACCAATGTGTGTGCTACATTCATGCATACATATTAACACAAACAAAATATTAGCACTGTAAATTATCTTTGGGCAAAAATTAACCTTCTACTACTAACATACATGAAACAGAATTTTTAAACGTTACTGTTATAACATTTTATATATAAAACTTGATAAGAAAGTTTAGCATAACTTAATATTCAAAGTCTAAGTTGTAACTAAGCAAATCCACTTTATATTATAACTAGATGTCACCCGCGACTCCGACTTCATAGGATTTAAATAAATAGTAGCTGATTCTTAGAAGTACTGAATATGTATATAAATTTTATAAAAATCAGTCAAGCCGTTTCGGAGGAGTATAGTAATTAACATTGTGACACGAGAATTTTATATAGAAGGTGTTCAAAGTAATCGATTAATTATTATACAGTATTTAAAGAGTTTAATGAAATACGTTGATAGTAGTCTAAAAATAGAAATTATGTAATGTATATGATTTTTACTTATATAGTATTACTAACGACGATATTTCCAAGATTTTAGGGATTTTTAAACACTTTCATGAGTTAGTAAGCAAACAAAACGTAACAATATTTCTTTACGTTCCAAATACGGTAAAAAAACATGATTCAGAATACTCACGGTCTTCCTTCCAAATTAGAATGTGCTTGACCATTGGAAACGGACGCGTTTACGTTGGGATTTACCTCAATATCACTAACATTATTCAATGATTCATTATTTCTTTCGATTGACGTAGTTTTAGGTATGACACTATTTAGAATAACATCTTCGCTATCTTTTTTCCACAAGGCCTCCGTCTGCATAGTTTTAGGCGAAGAAGGTACACGTTTTTGTTTACAACCATTGCCATTTGTCAAGGGGAGCTCAGTTTGAGTCTCGGTCTCGTGATATTCTAATACAGATTTTGTTCTAAAATATCTATTCTTTCTAAACGACATCACTAATAACGTAACTTTAATACACCGTCAAGTTTAAAATTCTTGATATTTGTTTATTTACCTTCATCACTTAAACGGTAAAAAAGATTAGCGATATAATTTAATTAAAATGATGCTATAAAGACGTGTCAATCGAACAATAGCTCACTGTTTAACTGATAACATAATATATTAAGACACACTGCAAGATTATTTAATTAATATCGACCATTTAAACATTATCACTGACAAGTCTGGCTTATCACTGAATATATAAAAAATGACCTCAAATTTCAGGTCTAATCGGTTTCGACATTGGAATGTAACGATAGTTTAATTAACAATATTTTTCCATTTGTCATTAAAATACGATTAAAAGCGAATCATATTGTATACAACATACCTCTCTGTCAGTCGGACGCGTACGACTCGAAGGTGCACAATTGACTGAGCCAACAACGCCGAGAATCATTCGCCGATGAGCCGAGGAAATTACACTTAGCGGTCTCCTTACATCGTCATACCACCACGGAAATAAATATTTATGAATGACTTACACCCGCGTCGCGATTGATGCTTTTAAACGGGATGAAAAATTATATAAATTAAAATAAAAAATAGAGGAAACGTCTCATTCGTTCGACGGTAACGTGGCGTTTACTAACACGGCCATTGAAATAGTATCGAACTGTAACCGTATAAATTACCATTAATGCGTCACGAACGTTGTTTTCTTGTTTAAAAAATAAAATAATATAAGTAATGGCACTTTGTACGTAACTTATTAATTGTATGTTACACAGACTCAGTGGTCTGAAATATGTAAGATAATTTATTTTATTCAAATCAATCGGAACTTATTTTAAAATCGTTAGATTTATTTACCCTTAGTGTTTTTGTGGATTTTAGTGCCGGTTCACGTGTATGCAAAATGTTGTTTTATCCGTTTTATCAAAGTAAGTTTGAAGGATGACAATAGTTTTTATGAAGTGATAAATATTCTTAACGCAGGTACACTTTCCATAAATACTCTGTGACAAATTATTTGTAATGTTATAATCTCATAGTGCGTTATTAGTAGTTTATTTTTATTAATGCAAACAAAATGAAATATAACTTTATGATTAACAGGATAAAACGTAATGTGCAATGTTATCAGTATTTTAATAAAGTTTTGGACAACCTTTTTATGTTATACATTTAAGGGTTTAATTATCATAGTCTATCTAGTGTATTTAACAATAGAAATGATAATCCCGTGAAAGGATTTGATAATTAAAAAAATATAATTTGTACACGTGTATTGTTGGCATCAAAGGCAACAAATTCTAAGTTAAAAAGTATTTTTAGACTGACACACTTTTGGATGTAAATAAAATTAAGTAGGTAGTTATTTGTTTAAAAAAGATCTAAGCAAGTATTGTCAGAAGACAATTGTTTGGTATGCAGGCAGGAGGGCAAAGTTCCGTACAACGCACCTTCTATTCAGGTCACATTGTTGTTCGGGACTCATTAATAGCTAAAATGTTAATTACTATTACTCCGATAAGTGTTAAGGTGTGTCCCTCTCGTTTTCTTTAAAAAAACAATATATTTGAAAATATGTGTTCGGTACTGGAGTTTCACAGTTAGCTTAGTGTTATAACTTGTTTTGAGATGATCCCAAATGCAACATTTTTTCTTATACCTTTTTGTTATGATTAAACGTAACCAAATGTATTTTTTAAGAAGTATTAATAAATTGATTTGTATTTTTATAAAATCTATGTTTTATTTTGTTTGTTTTGTCAGGCTGTGATATCATGAATCAAATTTGTAAACTTTCATTATGAATTATGGCCAACTTTACCCCATGGGTGACCACTTGTAGAAAAATATTGGCTTTTTACTTATCTTACATCATATTGCGAATTAATAAGTAGATTCTGTTTCATTACTGTTAGGAAGAAATATCGACACTGTACCGGCGTACTGGCACAACACTAGCCTCACTAAAATGTCGACTTCTATGTCATGACTATGTCCCTTCACTAATCATTCTGACACTTGACTTTGCATTGTAAGCGCGCTATTCGCGCCAAAGGATTGTAATTAATAATGTCTAAAATTACTATGCAATTAATTTTATACAAGCAAAAAAAAGTTAAAAGGGACAAGGAAAAATAAATTTAATTATTTCGGACTATTGTATACGTTTGAATTTCGCGTATTCAATAACCATCTCCAATTTCCTTATTAGGACCATGAGATTCTATCTGACCTCTATCAACAATCATTTTTCCGTTCCACTGGGAAATTAGAATGAGGTCGGACACGTACGGTCACTCCGCGTACGTCCTGGACACAACAATAAAACCTTCTTGCTTATTTTTACGTATGATGCTGGCCTTTTACAAAATTAAGGCTAAAATACACAAGTCCAAAATGTTTCTCATTTGTTTAAGGTGATAATTATCCAGAGATGTTTTTTTCCAGCAAAGCAAAGATCTGCAGCAGTAATAGTAGAAGAGACGTCAATTGCAAAATTAAATTATATTTTACATATGGGCTTAATATGTACAAAGTCGAAGTATTTTGTTTTCATTTTTTTTTGGAGACAGCAATTGTTATATGACATAACATGTATTGATTAATTTAAACTTGAAATTTTGTGACCTTAACTTATGATCAATGGTGTAAATAGTTATAACAGGTTTCCGTCACTATGAAGTGTGTATGTACATTTAACATATAGAAACAAACAATATTCGTAAAGGTGACTCATTGTGTTATTTTCTAATCTTATTGTGATTTATTAACACCATATCTCAACACTGTAATTGGCATGATACCCCTCCGATTAGGTTGCCATTTTAAAACAAACGCGTTCTTTAAAAATTCAAAACGTTATACTTTATGGTATATTTTAAGAAATGAACTTAAGAAGTATAATAAATCAATGCTTCTTTGAACTACGTAGTGTATGAATAATGTTCAGTGTACTTTGGTCGCAGCAGGACAATAGCAAATATTGACAGGTAGCAAACATTAAACTTGTTTATACTGCACTAGTAATGATTGTAGGCTAAGAAATACTGACGTTATGTTTTCAATCAAGTTAATTGCTGATGTTTTTTTTTATTACTATACAATAAATCGATTAATTTGAAGATATAACCTATATTCATCATGAAGGTTTTATTGAAAGAATCTCACGAGCATGGCTCACGTTTGCATGCGCAGACCTTGATATTTGTTGCAACTTAGTGGCGACTTGTTGACTTAAGTAATATCAAGGAATGGGAAATCCCGTGGGACCGGTTGCAAATTGATTCGTTGAATATTTCGCAGAACAATATCAAGTTTATTACTGCAACCAGATCGTTATTTTACTTAGTTATTTCCATAAAATGTTAACAAAATATATTTACGTTACGACAATACATATTGATGTTAATTCGGAACATAACCAAGAAGTAAATTACAAAACAATAGAATATAAAAATGTAACCAAATTTACACAATTTCTAGAATACCTTTTATAAAGTCTGTGCATTGTAACTATTGGATGCCATATAATAAAAACGAAGTAAAAATTATAAACCTACCATTTTTTGAGACCTCCGTTACTTCATTTTCAACTTAAATTCTAGTAAGATTCAGTCTAAAGTTGAAGTCTAGCTGCTAGACTTTCGTGTTGATAAAATGTTGTCTGTTACAATGGAGGTCAAAGTTCTTTATTGCGTTTTTAATAACAACCCTTTGTTATTATTTAATCTCTATGTTATTGACGTTTAATTTAATCCTCTGAGAAAATAGTTGCAATTAAAAAAGAGAATAAACGTCGAGGCAATGTTAAAAAAAAATTAAGCATCGAATATCAGCGACCAGGAAGTAGGGAGTAAAATATGGCCAGGTCATTGGCATGCCTTCGTAATGTGAATTGGGGACACCGAACCACCTCGAGCGCAACCTTCGCCTTAGCCACGGCCAACAGATCGTGGAAAGTTCTTACGAGCAATCTCTGATCATAGAATTTATTAATAAAAAACTACGAACATTCTAATTAAGTTTGAATTGTATTTTTTAGCACCCAACGCTGTGTTCATTTTCTCTGTTTTGGATCATATATCATTCTTCTATAATATGTCATATACTTGAAGTAGCTCGAGAGCTGCGAATTTGAGTCTAATTTTTTATTTAAGGTATCAACGTATCGTAGTGTGGGTAAGTTCTTTTTGTATTCGATAGACTTTAAAAACTATTAGCATTTTCCTTTTAGACAAGGTTACCTTGCGTTTATGTATGAAGAAGTTAAACAAAGAAGCGACGTTAAAAAACCTCTTTACGTACTTATATATTGCGCAAGTGTTTTTCAATGTCTGCATCAAACTGCTTTACCTTACTAAAATGCAAAGAAATAGTTATCGAATAAATTCGGTTTTAATATGCTTAAACGACCTTTTCGTACAGTTCCGAGGTAAGACAACCTCGTTTTATAATTTTAAGCTTTTGGTTATATCCTTAATGAGATTTTAGTCTTTTCCGTAAATAAATGTGTCTCTGTACAACAGTTACTCTATTTCAGATGAGTTTGGCGGTCTTAAAACAGAACATTCATTCGCTAGCACCCCAAGGGCAGGGCAGCAGGCACGAGAAAAATAAAAAAAAAAATATTTACACAATGGTCCCCCAACTTATACCCATCAGATGACGGCTATAGCTAAAGAGAGAAAGGTACATCAATGCAAGGAAGAACAAAGTTTCGCATAAGGAATTTAATTAAATATCCAATGGAAATAAAACAAAACTTACGTTCAAGTCGTCTCTTAAGACCAATGACTTTCAAGAAGACAAAACAAGTAAAAAAGTGACTATCTATTTCCTAAATTAAGTGTTTTTTTTGTATGTAACTTTGTTTTGAGTGTTCGCATAATATAGTAATCAATTAAAGTCTTTCCTCAATTAAAATATATTCATAGCATTAGGAACATATTGTAAACGTAAAAATAGTAATTAAAATCATCAAAATTTTAACATTAAATTTTCGTTTTTTTACAACAGTTGTCATTTTATTGTTGTAAATCTGTGTAAAACAACACGTCTTTGTAAACGTTAATTCATTTTAAAAACAAAAAAATACGATATATAATACAAGAAAATTATTTACATTAAAATAAATAAGCTAGTTAAATATAAGTTATGCTCGTTACCTTTAGACATTTTTAGGAGTATATATGCCTAATATAAAACCTATGAAGTTTAGACATTGCTATCATCTCAATTCATCATCGTCTACATCATAAACTAGTGTGATAGATGTGAACGTTTTCATTCCTGAGGAAGTGATATACTCATAGACATAACACATTTTTTTAGTACGTCGTAGGATATATCTTTACGGGCATTATAAATTCAGTTACACTTTAAAGTGTTGCATTTGCATGTATTAAAATAATTGATGTGGTCGATGAAGTCAGTGCACTTAAATAATTTCTTGAGAAACACCATTGTTTCTCGTTTCATAACAAAGGAAAATGATGTTATAGGTCTTACTGCAATAGTATACTGCGTCTACATTTCGGTGCGTTGTTACTTATTGCTAAGATTTAATGATAGTAATGATTTTAAATTATGTTCTCTTGAATTATACTTTTATAGAATCATGTCATTCATTGCGTAACCGTGAATTTCCACTCGCAGCAGACCTATACGAAAATCATAGTTCATGTACTAACTAAAAAAAATTCACGAAACGTATAGTACTCAGAAGCCTGGTTTTTGATACTATCGCCATCTAACGACAAGTTGTAAAAGTAATAAGAAAATCTGTTTTCTATAATCAACACAAGATGGCGTAACATTTTTTTTATAAGGAAAACTGTTGTCACCAGATGGCGCTTTTGTTGTGAGAGTCAAAATCACGATGGCTCCTTTTTATAGACTATATTAATTTTGTTTAAATATTTTGCCATCCTGCTGGACCTAAAATTGTGTTCTGCACAGCGATTCGCGAGAAGTTAACAACTGAGGGTTTAGCACGAAAATTTGTGATAATGTTTTCGTAACATCATTGATAATTTTTTTATTAAAATTTGTGCAGGGCGTAAAGAACACCAACAAATTTCATACATTTTTTGACATGTTTTGTCGATGACATAACAAAGTCGAGTATTGAAAATATTCGTGCTGGGCTCTCTGCTATCCGAAAACTACTATTCTCCAACTATTATTATGACAAAAATAAAATAGATTATAGGGTCCAAGATTACTTTGTGGAAGAGTTAGATAGATACAAAAAAACCTTATAAAATAATCAAAATTTATTGTATATAATGAATCCTATTCTAAAATAATTCAGTTCAAATAGCTAAGCATAATTTTTTTAACATCTGCATGTTTGAAGCACTTCAATTATAATTAACTGGGGTTGAGTTTTGAAAATGGCAGATTTTATAAAAACTATGTTATTGTCATTACTTTGTCTACAAATAACACTATAGAACCATACTTTTTTCTGCTTTGAACTTTAACACCATTATGATATGGCTTAATTGACTGTACATCTAATAGAACTATGCTTTTCTTTTTAATAATTTATGTCCTTTTCTATTTTTTTATTTAATTTTTTCCATTACAATGTGCAATTTACTGTGAAAACTGTTAATACTATAAAATTAAATGATACATCGGTGTACAAATACTAATATGTCAAATCCTTAATATCAAAAACATTATTTCAAAAAGATCAAATAATGTGGTCAATACTAAATTGTGTATTCTTAAATCTTCAAAACTTGCCTTATACTAGAACCATTGTACTTTACATTGAATAAAAATGATTATAAATAAGTCTACATCAATTAATTCTATCTTATTACTAAATATAAGAAATCTTACTCTACTGGTAAGGATATTACATTTAAATAAGACATTAAAAATAATAATCTTGCTTTAAATATAAAAAAAAAAACTGTGAATGGGATAACATATCACAACATAATATGTTCATACACTTTGTGTTTGAATCATTGAATTTAATTGTACAAATTCAAAGTTGTCGATTTATCAAACAACTTTATTATCCAACTAAAAATAGTACTCATTATTAATTACTAATAATTACACATCTGATAGGGGGACAGTGAAAAAGGAGAAACTCAAATATTTTTCCTCAAAAGTGTTAATTAAAATTTGGAGTACTTAATTCCAGCCTTCACTATTAAGTTTTCTCTAAAATGTGCTCCAACAGTGAATTTCAAATGTAATGCATGTGAACACTTGTTATCTCTGTTCTTTTCAAAAGGAAAAAGAAGGATAGCAAAATTGTCTTATTACAGGTGTCAGGAAAGTGTTAATACATCATTACATATTGCAAGAAGACAGAATGTTAATTTTATTCAGTAGGTCACTAAACATGCTTTATAGCCCATGACCTAAATTATTTCACAAATTATGTAAATGTAACTATTGTTACTTGAAAATAACAATTGATTAATTTAGGTCTATTGACCATTGTCTATTGTTGTGTAATGTAAAATTTTGTCAATTTCCTTTAAAATAAATTATTTGCTGATAATATATATTTTTTTAGTAATATTATAATCAGATATTATAATGTGTTTTAACAGGATTCAATTAGATCTTAATTACAAGGATATAAAAAATATATAAAATGTAACAATTCCTTGAGCTTATGTATCAAAATAGACATAAAAGATAAAAAGAACCCCTATTAAGGTTGAAATAATCCTTACATACTAATTTACTGGAATGTCAAAAAGCTTATAAATAGTAAATAGTCTAAATACAATAATTAATAAAAATGGGGCAAATAAATAACAATTTTTTATAAAATTCAGATATGTAAAAAAATGGTGTTGATTTGTGGACTAACACTATCATCCACTGGCTCAGTCTTTTTTATTTTCAGTGAACACAAAACAGTTGCCTAATTACATTCAGTTTATTAAAACTGTCACATTTTAGTGGAAGCTTCGAGGGAGCGCAGCAGCGGTGCGCGGGCCATATACTAGAAACGATCCTTTGAGGCGTGCAGGTCCGGGTTTGTCAGGTATTGCAGTTCTTGCAATTCCTGGAATTTCTCATGGTCCCTAATATGTGCATAATTAGCGGACAAGCACATTAGATAATGAACCAAACTTAAAATAACAAGAATGCACGAAACCATAGCAAGAATAAACATAAACTCTGCTTTCTCAACATAATCTTTGCAAAATAGCTTCATTTTGTATGCTTCACATATCTTCATGTGATCCTGTTTAACAGAAGATGGGAACATAAAGTCAAATTGTGTGAAGTCAATGCAGGTTGTTAGTGCAATATTTTCTGGCTTGGAGCACAGTTTCCAAAATATGGTGAACAAGAATGTTGTTATTACTAGAAAACCTAGCAATACAATCCATATAAAAGTTAAAATGTAGGTGATTATCATAAACACTGCACAGGATATTCTGCCTCCGACGCGAGCCCTCCAAGCGCGGTAAACCTTTTGTCTGGTAGCACCGGTTGTAAGGCATCCCAAGCATAGAAGCATTAACCCGAGTGCAGCCATGCAAGCACTGCCTACGATGAAAATCATCTGCAACGCTTCGATCCAAATGAGACGAAAATGAAATACTTCATCGAACATAAGAATCGAAAGAGCGGATCCTCGGTACATAGTCCCGCAAAACACCCCCACGCCCAAACAGCACATAATAGTTGCGATGAGTGTTGCATGGGGAATTCTTGTTAGACAAGCTTGACAAGCATCACCCATTGTGATAAACTTTCACGTTCACTTCACTAATAAAAGGTAGTTTATTTTAACGTTCGTAGCTTGATACACAAAACATTTATATTAATATGAGTCAGGCAACAAAATCGTAAAAATAAGAGAAGAACCGAAGACAATCAACCAACTTGTAGAGTATATAAATTTTTACTCTACACGTAGCTCTGCCTCTATGGTAAAGAATAAATAAAAATCGACTGGCTGTTTCATACCGGATTTCCCCAGATCATATAAAATATTATAACGCAATAAATTAATCTTTTTATTTGTGTATCTCATTCCCAAAACACTTACGAATCCGAATAACTTTTAAAAGTGAACATCATGACCAAAGAGTACATAAAATACATACATGACCGCCATTGCCACGTCAAATTGACGTTTCTTGAATGATGTTAACGTCAGTAAATAAGGCAGATTATTATGAAATGGAATGTTTTAAGATTAAAAGTAAAACTTCGTGTTGATATAGTTATACAAGTAACTTTAAGTTAAATAGTTTAACTGAAAAACGGAGTTAAATTTGTCTACGATTTACACATATTATGCTTCTACGGTTATAAGAATGGAACAGCTTTACCTTCAAACAACTCAATTAATACAAGAAACCACAGATTTGTTTTATAAATTAGAGAGGGATCCGTCTGAAAATATAGAAAATGCAATTCAATCAAAAATTAATGCAATTAATGCGTAAGTATTTTAAAAAATAGTTTAAGTTGTCTAACTGACACCTATTCGTTTGGATAAATCTGTTGACAGGATCAAATAAATGGTGTCTTTAAATTGTTTAATAAAATTACATTTATTTAGATTTAATAGGCACAAAGTTATAGTAACTTTTAGATTATCATAATTGAATAAAATAATTTGTTACTTTTAAAAGGTACTCTAAAAAGAATTTATCAATTCTAAATACTGAAGGACTTTTCAATATTTAATTGCAGAAACTGTGAAAAGCTGGACATACTGGTGTTCAAAACACCAATCAATCAGAGGCCTACAGCAAAAATGAGAGTTGACCAACTAAAATATGACAATAAACACATACAGGTAAACAATTACACACACTTTAACATTGAAGGCAGCTCGAGTCATGCAATAAATAGTGTTACTATAGATATGTGCTTACCCTTAATTGACTAAGATAGAATGAATTGAAAGAGGATATTCCCACTTCCTATTCAAATATCCCCCCTTATATCCCTCTCTCATGTATGCCTCATAAGAAAAGGGTGAGAAGCGAAAGAAGGGTGTAAAACTTGCTATTCTGCATGCACATTATGAGTATTTTTTGTGTAAATCTTGAGCACTGAAGCAACTTTAGTAAAGTAGTAATTTCACTTTCCTGTTATGTAACTGGTAACTATTTTAAATGCATGGGCGATGAGATAAAAGAAATAATTTGGCTCCACCTTGACATATATCACTAGTTTTTGCATTTAAAATTCCAAGCTTGTTCCATACTTTAGTTATTATTGCCAAAACATGGGATCCAAGATTAGCACATTTCATCTCATGGACTTAGAAGTTGGAACTACTAAGCTTAAATATATTTACTTCAACAGGCATCTTTACTAAATGCTCAAAACAAGAGGCGTAGACGACAGCAAGAACAAGAAGACAGAGAGCAGTTGCTGAGTAGGAGGTTTGGTCATGATCATACCGCTATCAATGTTGACTTCTTAGGACAAGAACGAAACTCTCTGCAGAGTTCACATCAACATGTGGATGAAATGCTTCATACCGGTGTGTATTATTTTAATACATTTACATTTTAATTAAAATGACTCAAAAAAATCATGTCTTTTTTCATATTATGTATATTGTGCTTTCATTTGAATTAAAGATGTGAAACAAAGAAATCTATTAACATGAAGTGGGTTGTTAGATTTGACTAAAATTATAATAACATAGCAAGTTCATAAAAACTATTAAAAAAAGATGGCCTATGGTTTAATATGGCCACAATAAATGAACTAGGCAGAATCATTGTTATGTATTATATGTATTCAAAATGATGTAATTAAAATAACAATGAAGTAATAGTAAAATATTTTTAATTATAAATTTATTTTTTGCTTGATAGTCATGTAATTAATTTTCGTATATAATCGTTTAAAAACAAAGATTTTTAAGCAAGTATCAACATCCTTGTAGAATAGATATGTATCTATTTATATATAAATTAGATATTTGTAAGTTTCTATTGTTAAAAACAAAGCAAGTACTAAATTTTCTCACACTAAAAAAAATATTTGCTATCTAATTCTGTGTAAATGTATTCCAATGTTAGTTAGTTTCCTAAGCTTTAGTTGTGAATAATAATTACTTTAAGTGGTACTGGTATTATTTCGCGGACGCGGCCCGTCGCTCACTCTGCGAAATAATACCAGTACCACTCATCCTGATGAAGGGCCCCCGATGGGCTCGAAACTAGTCGGTGCCGCCACCGGACGTATATACGTGAGTGTTTAGCCGTGTTTATATATCAGTTTACTATAATGTCTCACGAAAGTTTGAATAATTTAATTACTTTAAGTATCAATGAATCTTCCAAGGTTGAACTTATCTAAGATTCTATTTTCCCTGAGTTTACTAAATTACCAAACATGCCTACATTGCCTTCTCCATATCTTTTGTCATTGTTATCCAATCCTTGTCATCCATCACCCAATCCTAGTTATCACCTAATCCTTGTTATCACCCAATCCTTATCATCACCCAATCCATTCATGTATACATATTCCCACTTTCGTTCTAATTATAATTCCGAATTATTCTGAGTTTGGACATTGATTGGATGTAGCTTTTCTTTCATTACCAATTCATTTTCACTTAACATCGTAGGCAAGAGCGTTGCGGTAGGTTTATTTAAATTCCACACGGGAAAGTTGTGGACGACATTTTTAAATAATTAATTGTTTAAAAAAGTTTAACAACAATGAAGTGCGCATGTTTTATATCAATTATTAGCTCGTTTAATGCTTGGTATATATAATTGTTCATAATGCTGTCGCATAATGGCGGATTACAGTACAATGTTAACAACGTTTAACGTATAAATTCATATCACGATTGCAACGATCCGGTTTGTTCTATGACTCCATTACACTAGTAAGAGCTAAGCCACACGTTACAGTACAAAAAGGTTTTATAGTTTCAAGCGTAGGTAGTGTTTGCGATCTGATATTAACGTTAACATTTTCAAACGTATAATAATTTTACAGGTATAACATTAATATCCATACTAGCTTACAATATAAAAAAGTCTAATTCCATACCTAAGTTGGAAATATATTGCGGTCTTTTGATGGAGCGGCATCAATTTACCGATGTCCGTCGTGCGTGTGATTGTTGTGATATTTAAGGCAAAAGTACATTGCAGCGCCGACCATGTGGCTTAGCTTTAATGCTTACCAGGTTGTCTTGTTATTCATTAGATATCAGTATAATTGTGTGTGCATTAATATTTATGCAGTCAAAGAATTAAATACGGTTTCCGCGATCGGTTGGTCGGATTTTACGATTGTCTAGTTCGAATAACATTCCAGTTAATTGTCATTAGATTTATAATTTAGCACGCATGTATGTTGTTATAATATTTCGACCTTATTGCATTTTTAGCGTCAAATGACATTGAAATGGGTAGTAAAAAACGTCCTCTACTCGTATCTAAATTAAAAGGAAAACTGTAACTGTTTGAACAACAAAATAAAAATAAACATAAACAAAAACATAATAATTACAAGGAAATATAATAACGTTACATATAATATTCCATAATTAACTATAATGTTCGTATAAGTAACTAGATGTCGCCGGCGACTCTGTCCGCGCAGAATTATAAACAAACCTAATTAGTAGCCTTTGTGTGCTTCCAGACTATTTTCTACATCTATGGCAAATTTCAGCTAGATCCATCCATCCATCCGTCCATCCAACTAAACGTTCGCATTTATAATATTAGTAAGATGTACTATATTTTAAACTCATTGGTCATTGAAGATAGGAGATGAAAATTGATCTTTTTCACTTTTTGTGTTGTTTTTATTTGTTGTATACTGCAATCATATGTCAAAAACGTGAATTAAATAAAAAAAAATATATGTTACTTGGAGCAAAACTAACTGAGATTTCAGTATAAATATCTAATTTTCCATAGATTTCTTGAAAGAATTATATTGATGTTATATAGTGTTATTTAAAATTTAGTATTGATAAAAATAACTCACCACATATTTGGATGTTGATGACCACTTTATTTAGATGTTGAAGAAAACAAGTGAGTTCACAATTCACAGAAAATCACCACATATAGTTTTAATTACATTTAAAGCACAAAATAAACTTTAATCAGAACCCGCCAATGTCTAAACCGTATTTAAATTGTGTACAGTATATAAATAATTTGAAACATAAAATTAAGTACTACAGATAAAACAAAAAACTAATATTCGGTGATCTTGACACAAACAGGTTTTAGATGAACACAAACACACAATGATGTTTTCTTAGCACCACCAGTTCTGTACGAGTACTGTGGCATAAATGCGTAATTATAAACCATGTTTCACCTTCAAATTATCGTACGCCTAGTTCATTATTTTTATGTATTATTTTTTTTTACTAAACAGAATTTAGAAAACGTGCGTTGTTTTTAAGATTTAAATTTGTTATGTTTAGAACACTGAGAAGTTTAGTCTTAAAATCTTTTTAATAGCTTAAAGTGATCGCAGTCAAGGTTAATAGCGGTAACAAAGAAATATGACATACATTAGCGAAATGAATTAACTATTGTCACTTATAGAAAAGGAGAAATTTTTATAATTGCACTTCTTTATATTTATCAGAGTTATTTCATAAACGGATGTATAGCAACCTCTGTTTAATTATAACCACGGACGGTTATACAATTTTAAATCACACACCTTTCTGTATTATGGAATTAATTGGTTACAATTTATATATTTATACACTAAATAGATAAACGATATTACAAACTATATTCTAATTATAAAACAAAATTCATTTCTCTTTTAACAACTATAAATTTTTTCACAGCTGAAATTCAACTGTTTTTTTCACTATTTATTTTTCTATTATTGTGCGGCGCCGCGTTAGTGGCCAGTACTCGTTGGCAGGTGACAACATCTCCCGTCCTACCAAGGAGTTTCGATGGGTGGGTAGCACACCCATATGAAATTGCACCCATTTATTAAAATGAAAGAAGAATGAAGTGGAATTTGGCATTAGGCACTTATTGCAACAGATGGTGCGTAATTTATATTATACTTTTATTAATGGAATGTTTGATTTTGTTTCCAGGTTCCAACATTTTGCAGACTCTAAAGTACAACAGGGACACGTTGAAAGGTGCGCATAGAAGACTAATAGATCTGGCCAACACTCTAGGCCTTTCCAATGCAACGATATCCCTGATAGAAAGAAGAGTGTCTCAGGATAAATACATTCTGTTTGGGGGCATGTTTGTTACCCTGACTGTGATCGTTCTCGTTATATTCTTCTTAGTATAGTTTAAAGGATGTTGTAAGATTAAGCTTGTACTTTCACACTTTCCATTGAATTAAGAATAAATATTTTTTTTTAAACGATGTAAAGGTTTGTTGCTTTGATGTGTTTATTTTATTATGTTGTATATTTTGTAGAAAAATCTGTATTACGCTTGTAAAAAAAACCGGCAGCCTTATAACACCAGGTAATTTATACAAAAAAATATTTTAAATTGAAATAATGTATCACAAAAATCTGGTTAAGAAAAATATTTATATATTATATGTTTTACAGTACGTTTTACGGTAATCTTTACATAATTGTTGTGTAAAGCGTATCAGAAAAATATATTGCTCTGTGGACCATTGTTGGCTAAATAAATAAATTGTATTATTTAAATTATGTTTTTATAGACCTCACACAAAACCAAGATAAAGTAAATGTATCACAAAATGGGCATTCATCATGAGCTAGCTTAAAACAGGACGATTTTTGCAGAAGCTAATGTTACGTCAGCTTAAAACAAAATTAAAAAGAACCTGTGTGAAACGAGTTTATCGTTTAACTAAAGGTTAATACTGAACTCGAATTATAGCGTTGGAAGTAGTGTATGAATTTAATTGATGTTTGTGAAGAAAAAAAAATGGTTATTTTGAGAAAACTATAAAAATAGATATATGCTATTGAGAGCTACAATTATTTCATACATCTTTTTTATGAAGGTCCTATAGCGAAGAAAGCAAAAATGTCCTATTTTTCGCTGACCTGCTGATTCATTGCATCCATATATTATTATATAAAATATGTTATGTTCAAAGTATACTTAAACAAAATATAAGTTATTTTAAAGAATGCACACACTCATCCATGAAAAAAAATATTAATTCTGCAATAAACATAAAATTTAAACTACGAGAGTGACCTATTATCAAACAGTATTGCGGCTTTTTATTGGTTTTGAAATTGAGCTTGTTTCGTTCTAATTTGCGAGTCAATAAATATTCATTGGTTTTGATTTTCAACAGTTCGATGTTTCGAGTTAGTTCAGTTAGAGTTTTCGCTGTCACACATTCTTGCGCGTTCCGCACAGAGATGGCGATATGCTGCTTATGACCTCCAATAAGTTCATTCCGATATAAAAGCTTTAACATTTTTGCCAACATTTATTACTTTACTAAGCATAAATGTTATACGCAGGATATATCATTTTTTCTTACTCGTGTACTACATTTTAGCTCCCTATCTAGCGAGTGAAATGTATAAAATCGAATTAAATATGTCTTTTTACAAATTGAAAGTAATAGATAAATAGAAGGAGAGAAACGAAATTCACGGAGCGTCTCTGACAGAGTCTAGACAGTTTTGTTTACGAATTTACGATATGATATATGTGGGTAAATATATTGTTTTTTTAGACTCTGAATTCCTAGTCGTAATAAATAAATTTATGTGGAAGAGTTTTAACAATACACCGTATTATAAAGACTTTTTTTATTCAGTAAACAATAAGCCTTATGTTATACGAAGCGTGAAATAAAAGCAACGAGGCTGTCCTCAAAAATTCCTTATCGAGCAAAGATTATAACTAAGTCAGACTTTCAAAGTGTACACGCTTCGCTAATTTTTAAGCTTCGCTAAGCTAAGTTACCTGCTAATATAATAGAATTATTGACAAATGCATAAAATACGCAGTTTTATGAAGACCTATTTTTTGTGGATCAAATCTCAATTGATATTTTAGAAGGTTCTATGGCTACCTCTAGCATACTCTGGGTCCTTGAATAACATCCTCGGATGAAAATGACAATCTCGAGTAGAACGTGGATTTGGACTAACAATGTAATGGACCTTGTATTTGAATCCTCTATCGAACAATAAAATTCAAATGTGTTAAAATATTATCTATCGTTGCTATTAATAGTTTTAAAATATTGCGTTAAGCATTTCGTAACATTTTTGCATATAACATTGGAATATTTTGTTCGAATACATTGTTTGGTAAGGTTATATTGTGTACGTCATGAAACGAGAGGCAAAATAAAGATTTTCTCGCAAACTTTTGCCTCATACAACATGAAATATGTTATTGCAATATGCAACGTAGAGCTATTTTCGTTATTACGTTCCCTAATTTGACGTGAAACTTGACTTATTCATACTTTGGGGAATAGCAGTTCATTCGCATAAGCTTAATAAAATCAATTTAATTGTTTCACTTGTATTATTGTATAATAATGTGGCTCAATAATGGTTAACGTTTAAACATATAAAAAAAATTTGAAAGTAGAGCAACAATGGAACGTGAACATAAAATGATGAACTCTGTTTCTTTACGGAACAAAGACTTAAATCATCTTTTTACGATAAGCAGTCTACAGTCTGTTACTTCACCGAAAACATCCAATATTATTAATGTTATTCTTATCACTGTGGCTTGTTTTATGATATCATATAATTAACACCTCAACTTAAATAGCTCGCTAAAGTTCATATTTTTACTTATTATCACTCTGTAATATACAACTATACAAAAAGTATTACCGTAATGCTTAGCTTTATTTTGATACCTCACGCTACATAGGCAGTAAATACAGTATGGGGTTAACCTAATAAATGATAAATGAAGGAATTTGTTGGAATAAATTTTAGGGCGCATACACACTAGCGTACATAATAGAGGATATAGACTCATATTTTTTAAACATTTTATGGCATTAATGTAGCACATTAGGCTGATCAGTGACGACAAAAATTTGAGCCTGAAGTTCAAGTCTCGTCGCTTTTACCCACTGTGTTCGTCTCCATGTACTATTTTTTTTATAAATATAGTGAAAACTTCAAGATATGCAATATTTTTATGGGAAACTGAGATACTGCAAACCTCGTACAATGCGAGAGGGTTCATGCTGTAATATCAATAAAATTTCTATTTTATTGATGACTTTTAATCCTGAAAAAAATTCCTTCCTACGCTATGATACTCTTACATCAATTCAAGGGCGAGTAGCACGTTAGCTAATGCACCCTTTTTTAGGTCACTGAGGTGGCAACGGTCAAGGCGATGCGTTGCCGCGCCTTATACTTTTTGCCATAATTCACTTAGTGTGTCAATGTCCTTACGCACGCAATTTTAGTGAAAAAGCGACGTTGTTAGGACTGCCACAAGAAAGTAGAAATGCGCGTGTAACTGTTTGTTATTTTTAGGAACCACAGTTCACCATTATGATTCTGTTATATTAGAACACGACGATACACTTAATGTGGGTTTCTGAAGCCAAAATCGCCGTTTAAAATAAATTTTTAAATCAGTTTTGTAAATAATTACAGGGATGGCGATAAGATTTATACAGAGATTTTGGCCTCAGAGCCCAACCGTTAATCACCAGAAAAGTAATGACAAGATGATGAAAATTTTTTGTTAAAATCGTGAAAATCATTTTAAATCTTTATGGAATTTGCACTCTGCCGTGTTACCTAGAAACAATTTTGTTTACTGTCAATATCTGTTTTCATGGCAACAAAATAAAATAAAAGTACATGTTATATTTGTTTCACGGAGAACTGTAGTTTTTATTGATTTACTTTTATTATATTTTATTTACGTAAGTATAAATAAATTGATATCTATATATTTTAGTGAACATGTAGTGTAAACGGTCTACTGTATTTTCTCGTAAACAAAAGTCACATTAATCCCGAAAACCGAAAATATCGCGTATTTAATTTAGTTCTATAGACCAAATTAGTGAAGAAATAAGTTTGCAAGCATTTTCAATAATATAAATTTCGATACAGACTATTTACTATGGCGTGGGGTCTACCGAAACTTCCCGGACTGACCTTTTCGGATCCAACGAAAACCAAACATCACATGCGCAGCTCTCTACGCTTCTACCAGGGTTACAGGTTTCCTGACACGATTGTGGTAGGGCCTGGAGGAAGCGCCACGGATGTCGACAGTAATGCCTTCGCCTTGCCAGAAGACTCCGTCAAGTATGAATGCAATGTTATTTTGACATTACTCGTTTCGCTGGCACTAGACTGAGACAGACATAGAGATGAAGTAAGGAGAATGGGAGAAAAAAATACGGGATTCACGAATACTTTTACGTAGGAAACAATCGACTTCTTGAAAATTAGATTAGCTAGATTAGTTTGTTTCTTCTCATATATTTTTTATAATACTTTTTAAAATTTGATGTCCTTAACATAAATAGAATTTTAACTAAAACCACCTATTCAAACTACAAATAATATTATCGCCGATTAATTCAACGTGCTAGCATTTGTTTAACACGAGAGGGGTATTTGTATGGTATATTGGTTTGTTCATTGATTCTTCAGTTACGACCCATCGTTGACGTACGGACGGGTGAAGCAGCCCGCGCTGCCGGCAGTTATCCCCCACTGGGCGCACTACGACAAGCGCTGCCTCAACTTCACTGCCTTCTTCAAGCAGCCCGTCTTTGAGAGCACTGATGAGAACTACAGAGTTCGAATTGTCAACATAATTTATTTCCTAGAAGACGACACTCTTACTGTCATTGAACCAAAAACGAGGGTATGTTCAGTTTACTTTTTTATCAGATTTTTATCCCACACTTAAGTTATTCGTAACAATCAATTATTTTAGGCATTAAAATATATATTTAAAAACACATTTTCGTTGATTAGTAGAGCTGCAATATAACTAGCAACCAATTTTTTTAATTATCTTTCCATTTTTCCTAATGGACTTTTGGAAAATGCTAAAAGGGTTTAAAGGAAAATTTAATACTATAATTGGGTTGTTTCCGTTTGTCTTGAACATTGTTCCGGAAATTCAATGTAAGTACAGTTTAATTGTTAATTCCCAAGCTTAATTGGGGTTAAATGGCAACACTTACAACAGCCTGTTATCGTCAGAAAATAAAAGGGTATTTGTGTATCTCACATAACATTTTTATGTTAAACACTAAAGTAAAATAAACTCAGTACAGTATTACACACAGACGTAAACATTAACATCAATATATTAAATGGCTTGTTCGCAATTATGCTCATTTAAGATTTCAGTTGCTAAATATCCTTGCAGCAGTGATGTATAGCATAAACGCACAATATTCTTGAATTATTGCAGAATTCCGGTCTGTGGCAAGGCAAGCTGGTAAAGCGTGGTAAAATACCGAAGAACGACATCGGTGAATTTTGGCACTGGAAGGATTTAGACAATGGCAAAGATATTTGTATATTTGGCAAAGTTTACCATACGGTGTCATGTGATCTTTTTACAAAGGTATGTATTTTTGAATTTTATAAACGAATTTATATAACACTAGGGAAAGTTTAAGCTCCTCCTTGGGCATGTTAGTATATGAGATGATGACAAAACGAAATTAAAAAATATACAGTCAGATGATGTACCCTAAAGATATTGCCACCAGTTGTAGAACTGTGTTCATAAATCGATGCTGTAAATAATCAGAGATACAGAACAGTAGCATGTAGTAGTCTAATATTTTATAATAAATATAATAATAAGACATCATAGGAAAACCTAAGGTATTAGGAGACTATAAATATGGCTATAAAATAATATTAATAAATGAATACGATAATTACAAGTAACTAGTTTCCTAGTTTAGCAAAAAAACGCTTTCCTGAACCTCTTTACAATAACTAAGCTCGATATCTCCCATGGGAACCTCAACTCAAGTTATTTTTAGTGTTACAGGATTAGGAAGTAATTTTGTTCTTAGATCGCTTTGATCCTTTTCCCTCAAGTCATAAACTGTGGCATGAGTGAGCATAGTTTATGAGCAATGTATGCATTGTAACATATCATAAATATATTCCTTTAGGCGCAAATTTGTACAAGGAGTTGCTTCAAATATTTTGCTATTGTAGATGAATTTTGTTTTATCTTCGGTAACGAGCTCTGTATATTTATTGGAAATAAAAAAATATTTGTCTTTTCAATATTTAGTTAGGCCTTCGATTTCTAAATAAGATTGAGAACTCTTTTCTAGGAAGGTTTGTCGATTACTACTTATTTTATTATCACTAACAATTATTATCACAATTTTTTTGCTATTTTTATTTTTTTGTATTATAAATAAACAAAAACGGTAGCCTACATTTTTGTTATACTGGATACATTTTAAAGATTATAAGAACCATTTGGTGGTGATGAATAGCCGTGTATTATCTAGTGGCCTTGTCTTGTTCTATTGTTTATATGAACTTTGGAATTCATGGAAAGCCGGTACCTTTTCAACTTTCGACATCAGAACAAAGATTACGCTATGTTCTTGGGTTCCCACATATATTAAGTACTCAGAGTAGAATTATAAATTACGTACATTTTTGTGTCCTAAAAGTTTAAGTAGTTTGTTCATCATTATTTGAAAAAAATTGTATTTGACATCGCCAGAGACACAGTATTTTATAAATTTTTGTTTTATATGAATATCTCAGTCTTTCAATGAATAGTTATTTTATCGGAATCTGATAAATATGGTTTAAGGAGCTTACGTTCGAGGACCACTTACGTGTTAATCGCTCGACGAATTCTATCGATCGAGCTTTCACGTGTATCGTAAACCGATAATACGGATTGTTATGTCTGAACGTAAATCCCGAGGAGTTGATGGATTGTAGTTAAATTACTCCTATGTCGAATTTCGAAGAATGTCCACTCTTCCCCTTAAAGTCATATTCAAGAGTTCATTATTATCTTATAAAATGTCAGTAGAACATCGTTCCATTGTGACAAGAATATCAGACTTATTTTGATAGACAGTAAACAGACTTTGAAACAATAGAAGTTTCCGAGACCGTACCATATAGTAGGCTTAACTTTCTAAGGCTAATTGTATAGGCACAGTATTTGCCGTCTTTTTGTTCCAATCAATCAATCAGTGGTCAGCGCCAGATGCCACCGATTGACGAATTAGAGTTCCGATTCCCCTCCATTCGTGCATACAAAACGTCCAACTGTTTGGAAAAGGTAAATAGCCGTTTTCGATCAAATTGTATTTTGTTTTCAAAATACGTTATGACGTATCATAACGTATTTTGAATTAGGTTTGTTATTTTAAACTTCTGTATGATGGGGTATTTCTTATGTAATATATCTAGGACTGCGCATATGTTTTGTGATGTCTCCTACACGAATGGTAGATATGACGATTACTACATTAATTTGTCATTACTATTTGGCAGTGACTAATCATAATACATCAAAAACTATCTGCATATGTACATATAATATCATAGAAATATATGTCTCTCACAATAAATTAAACAAATTTTAATAAAAAAAATAATTTATTAAAAAATCGTTCTATATTACTAATTAAAAATCATTAACAGTTCATCCATATAAAAAATGAAGTAAACGCCTAATAAAATTACAGAGCACTAATATAATTTGACACAATTGCAATACCCATGTACCATTTCACAATCATGGGAATCATGAAGGCAATGCCGCGCGCCGGTTGCGGCAATGGTTTGACAGCGTACACTATTGTGTGGATGATTCTGCTAACAGCATAAACCCTGAAGAGAAGCGTAGCCCAGGCGGCCTCCGGCGACGTTGTCAAGTACAATGCCCCCAAAATCCAGAACGCGGGTATGTTTTCAAGGTCATTGAGATGTGCGCGTCTCACTCTTTCAACGTCCGGATCGTCCAGTTTTACTTTACCTTTCGATGCTTTTGCGTCCTCTTCGTTTGCGAACACTTTTTTGGCGTAACGAACTCTACCGGTCAGGACTGCCATCACTAGAACTTTTAGTGCCAGAATAGCGGAGTACAGAATGTACGATTGTACGGCGGGATCGCTTAGGGACACCATTGTTTATTTTGTAACTAAAATTATAGGATAAAATTAACACAGCCAACGTGCGGTTTCTTTGAATTCGAGTATTTAAATGAACAAGTGTCGACTACACATACAAGCACTGATTATAGTGAGATTGTGTGTGTGTGCGCGTACAGTTGGATACTGTTGTATTTAGTATCAGAATACACACACGTGCATTTTGTCAGAATAAACACGTATGTTGAATTTATTGCAAGTCATCCCGTTAGTCACTGGGTGTGAACAGAAATTGTCTACTCACTCAAACAAGATATTTTGTAGTAATTTCAGTATGTTCTAGAATTATATTTATTTCTAAATTAATTTTCTATTTTGAAACTGGATAACTTCGTATCAATTTATAAGTATACGTAGATAAGATATGCAATAAAATAATGTACAATGAACCTCTGGCATCAATTATTGCATAATAAATACTAATTACACTTAAATATTTTAACACTGCACCTTCATTTATATACCTACCAAAGTATAGTAGTATAACCTTCGAAAATAATTAAAAATATTCGTTTTGTATAGCAATTGTTTCCTACAGCAAAGGATTTAGATCTGTACCAATATATCTACCTAAAGATGATAATACTTTTTAACAGTGTTAGAGACAGCAATAGCTGAATAGACCCAACAGGAGACAGGCGTGAAGCAGGGCCCGCGATAGGGCAGAGTGACGGCTCAGAGCGCTGGGCCGAAAGGGGCGCCACAATTCTGCGAATTATACAGTCTCCAAATCTTGCATGTCAAAAAGAGGGTGCCGTAAAATTTAACGCTCAGGGCGCTAGTAGTTCTAAAACCGTTCCTATCCGCTCCCTTATTGGCTATCTTGTATCAACATTACTGTTATGTTCTTCCGTCTAATTTCATCGTTGCTCTAAAGTTATTTCTATCTTCTGGATTAACGAACACGTGTCGTCTGAGAAATCCTGTCATTTAACTTACCCCTAGCAGTTTTTAAGGTTAAAATAATATGAATGAGCTATGTAAGTTTGACTTAAGGATTTGTCGTTTTCAAAGCCGGCGACGATTTCGTCAAAAGGCCTACGCGACCTCAAATGATACTGAGAATGTAAAACTCATTCACATTTATAGTTAGCTACAGAATGAAAATATAATTTATCAAGTCATGTTTAATATGTGTAAATACCTATTTATTGGTAAAATATTGATAACATGGAACATTCTAGTTCTTTCATTTAAAATATCGTTTTAAAAACAATTGATTATTTATGTTAGCTGCAACTAGCAGATTTCCATCGTCTGCTTCCACTCTCGAAGTAGGTAACGTACTGTTTTGTTCAAACACAATAGGATTCTCATGATTACTAAAGAATTTTTATTTTGCAATGATAGCTAATCGTAGGCCATTATAAAGGTTTATGTAACTTTGCCACTAGATATTTGAAATGTTGTGTGGAAATTTTTTGTAATAAAAAGTGACTTGTGTTTACTAAAACTGAGTAACAATCAGAAAAGAATCAACAAAAGAAATTACTTTGATATATCCATATTCCGTATTTATATTGAAATACTAGCTGTTGCAAGCGACTCCGTCTGCGCGAAATCTTATCATTCCATTAAGCCGTACCATAGATACCTTTTAACAATGATCCATCCATTCATCCAACTGTCTATCCATCTAAACTTTTGAAATAATAGTGTTAGTAAGATAAAGGTGAAACAAGCAACGTTAATTAAAAAGAAAAATGAAAACATATTATTTTATTACATATAGATATCTATTAACAAAAATCATTTGCTCGTTAAAATATTACATGATACTAATATAATATGATACAACTTGTAAACCCATATACCAATTAATAAGATAAGGTATCCCGTACGCGATTGCGCGCGACGGTTGTGGAATTACTGGCAGAACGTAAACAAATGTATGAATAAATCTACATACTGTAAACATTCTGAATAGAACCGTCGTCCAACCAAGGCCAGGTCCTGTGGTTACATAAAAAGCACCCAAGATCCAAAAAGCGGGGATGTTTTCCAAATCATTCATTTGCGCACGTCGGGTTCTTTCGATGACGGGGTCGTCGAATTTAACCACTCCTCTGAATTTCTTCACGTCTTCAGGATTAGCAAATACACGTCGAGAGAGCCGTGTGAATCCTGTCATTGAACTGATAGCGATGAGTTTTAACGCTAATAAAGCTGAATGTAATATATATGCTTGGATTAAAGGATTCGTTACAGTTAACATAGCCATTTTTTAATTAATAACTTGAAATTTTTCGAAATAATTAATTTGAACGTGTACTCCGTTGAACTTGCGTAAAACAATTATTTTCAATACCAAGCAAGCCGTGTTTAATACGTAATAAAATATGTAAATTTTTGGATAGTGCAGATAAAGTTATATTAACATGTAAAATTTATTCGTATATATTACTCATATCTTCTTGTTTTCGTGATGGAAAAGGGAACACGTAGTTATTAATGTATGTATTTGTCACAATGTATTATTTTATTATAAAAGATAAAATAAAACACAAAAAGCTGTTTGAGTATTTTTAATCAAAAAGTATAAAAAGAAACCATAACACCACATTATCTTAAAAAGAAATTAAAAAAATAACAAATATAAGGTTACACAGCACTGATATAATATATGACAACTTGGAAACCCATATACCATTTGATGATGTATGGAATTGCATACGCGATACCGCGCGCCGGCTGCGGCAATGGTATCAATGCATATACAATAGTATGGACAATTCTGCTCACTGCGTATACACGGAAAAGTATCGTCGCCCAAACAACCACCGGTCCAGTTGTCAGATACAGCGCACCTAATACCCAAAAGGCGGGAATGTTTTCCAAATCGTTCAAATGCGCGCGACGAATCCTCTCCACGACGGGGTCATCGAACTTAACCGTACCCTTAAATGCCTTTGCGTCTTCGGGATTACCAAAGACGCCTCGTGTCATACGAGCGATGGTCGTCATAAGACTCACAGATATTAATTTTAACGCCAAAATTGCTGAATAAACGATGAACGATTGTACAACAGGATCTGACAAAGCTAATTCTGCCATGATTTTAGTTTATTTACACTAAGTACAAAACCACTCGCAGCGAAACCGTCTGCCGACTGAATGATGATGAGGTAGATTATCTTTGTGAGCGTGTGGCCATATTTTTAAATCACTGTTAGGTTAGAAGCTCGGTGAAAGTAGTAGGGCGACTCGTGCATGTGTACAATCGCGCTCATTATAAATAAGCAGTTTTTTGGCGGCTTGGTTGTAAATTACCTGTAATAAGTTTTTCATTGTAAACAATGTATGCAAAATTATTTCATAATTTTGTAAGTAGTAGTATTCGAATACTACTATTCGAATATAAATAATCGGAAATTGAAGTTTATTTTAAAAAATATCCGAATAAGTACAACACCAATTGTTCGAAACAAAACACTATGCACGCGATTGTACCTAAGGAGATTCGAGACGTGCTCAGGGTAGCGGGACGAAGGAACGCGACTGACGTTACAACACGAGGCCCCCGCGCGGGTCATCCTCGCGTCTCGCCTCACTCTTCTTACCAGTGACTACCAAAAATCGACTTCTGCGCATTCAAGGTCAGCGTTTTTCATTCGTGACGGAACCTATAATATTTTATTATTTTATCAAGTTCAAAGTTAAAGTCAAAGTACATACATTAATAACCATGCTTATAAATAAATTTTACGGTTTTAACCGTTTTTACCTTTAATTGTTTTCATGTTTTTTTAATTGATGATATTACTTTTGTAATACTTTATACATACATATTTCATAAACAAAATGCAAATTGGACATGAGAGCCTCCAATCTAAAAATGAATCAAACAATACAATAAACAGAATATATAAAATAAAACCTTTTTCGTGCGTCTGCAAACAATATTATCAAACGCCCAAAGTAACGATTCTCTCTTTAACAACTTTGATGTTTGATTTACCTTGCTTGAATAATAAATATAATCACTTTAGTCTTTACTTCGACTGGAAGTGTATTTTTATGTAGCACTCTCTCGAATCTTCTATTTCCTAATGATACTTAAGATATTTGAATATAAAAAGATAGTAAACGCAGATATGACGGCTGTCAAAATGTATTGAAGAGTAGCAAATGTCTTGCAGACCATCCGTAGGGGAAAGAACAAGCTGATGATAGTTTTAATAAATCTAAAGATCGTCTAGGGTCGTCCGCGATTTCGTAAGCGCAGAAAAAATTTAGTTCTCGTCAAAGTCCTGTCAAAATCGGCGCAGTCGCTTCGATGATTACCCAGAATAAACGCGGCATTACGGACAAACAGACAGGGACAAATAGGATTCATTATCAGCTAAATGTTCGAAAGATGATCTTGCTTCTATTGTCGAAGTAGGTAACTGTTTTTTCAAACACAATAAAATTCTCATGATTACTGAAGAAAATATGTTTTTGCAATGCAAACTAATCATAAGCCATTATAAAGGTGTATGTAACTTTGTCACTAGATATTTAATTGTTGTGTGGATTTTTTTTTATAATAAAATGTGTCTTGTGGTTATCAAAACTGTGTAAAAATTAAGAAACGCAAAGATAGAAACTAAAATACAAATGAAATTGATTTAATATATCCAAATTTCATCAAGATCCGTTGAGTCCGTTGAGTCCTGTGGTTACATAAAAAGCACCCAAGATCCAAAAAGCGGGGATGGTTTTCCAAATCATTCATTCGCGCACGTCGGGTTCTTTCGACGATGGTGTCGTCTAACTTAACCATTCCTCTGAAAATCTTCACGTCTTCTGGATTCATTGAACTGTGATGAGTTTTACGGCTAATAAAGCTGAATGTAATATATAAGATAAAATAAAACAAAAATAACTGTTTCGAGTATTTTTAATCAAAACTAGAAAAATAACCATAACTCATTATCTTAAAAATAAATAAAAAAATAACAAATATAAGATTACACAGCACTGATATAATACATTGCAACCTGGAAACCCATGTACCATTTGATGATGTATGGAATTCCAAACGCGATACCGCGCGCCGGCTGCGGCAATGGTATCAATGCATAAACGATAGTATGGACAATTCTGCTCACTGCGTATACACGGAAAAGTAGCGTCGCCCAAGCAGCCACAGGTCCAGTTGTCAGATACAACGCTCCTAATACCCAGAAGGCGGGAATGTTTTCCAAATCGTTCAAATGCGCGCGACGAATCCTCTCCACGACGGGGTCATCGAACTTAACCTTACCCTTTAATGTCTTCGCGTCTTCGGGATTCGCAAAAACGCCTCGTGTCATACGAGCGATTGCCGTCATAGTACTCACAGATATTAATTTCAACGCCAAAATCGCTGAATAAACGATGTACGATTGTACAACAGGATTTGACAAAGCTAATACAGCCATGATTTTAGTTTTTCACACTAAGTACAAAACCACACTCAGCGAACGACGTCTACCGACTGAATGATAACTATACAGATTATGTTTGTGTGCGTGTGGCTATACTTGGAAATCTCTGTGTTGGGTTAGTAGCTCGGTAGTATTTTATTATATTGTTTATCAAGTTCAAAGTCGAAGTCAAAGTATATGCATAAATAGTATAATCATGCTTACGAATAAATTTTACTGTTTCAACCTTTTGTACGTTTTGTATTCTTGGTTTTTGAAAAGAGTAAGATAATTTAATATGAAACGTTGTTGATGACATTACTTTTGTAATACTCAATACTTACATTATAAAGAAATGCAAATTGGAGATAAGAGCTTCCGATCTATAAAAGAATCAGAAAATACAATAAAGAGAATACATAGAAGAAAACCTTTTTCGTGTGTCTGCAAACAATATTATAAAACGCCCGAAGTAACGATTCTCTCTTTAACAACTTTGATGTTTGATTTACCTTGCTTGAATAATAAATACAATCACTTTAATCTTTACTTCGACTGGAAGTGTATTTTTATGTAGCACTCTTTCGAATCCTCTATTTCCTAAGGATTTATATTTAAGTTATTTGATTATAAGAAGGTAGTAAATGCAGATATGACGGCTGTTAGAGATGCATTAAAGAGTGGTAAATCTCTCGCCGATATTCCGTAGGCGAAAGAACAAGCTGATGATAATTTTAATAATACTAAAGGTCGTCAGGGTCGTCCGCGACTTCGTAAGTGCAGAAAAAAGGTAGTTCCCGTCAAATTCTTGTCAAAATCGGCACAATCGCTTTATATTACCCGGAATATATGCAGCCTTGCGGACAAACAGATAGGGACAAATAGGATTTTCATCATCAGCGACGAAAATACATATTATGTTCGAAATATGATTTTTTGATGTTAAATACAGACACTCCAATTTTATTATGTGTATAGGTAAGATTATTTTAAAAATGTTTTCCTTATTTTAATAGTTCTTATATTTCAAATAAAGGCCTCAAATAATAGGTAATTTTCAATTCGATTTAAATAATTTAAGTAAGGCATCAAGAATGTATTAAATTTTGATAATTTAGCATTTTATCATAATCAGTAACAAAACAAGTTATGTGAGTGCGATGTCCTAAAGACTAGGTTATCAGTTTTATTAATTCTGTAGCAGTCATAATTAAAAATGTATTTTTCAATTAATAACCTTCTAAATAGAAAAAATAACATAACGTTTAGAATATATTTTCGCCCCAGATGGCTGGAATCACAATCTTTCAGTTAATAGCCAAACCAAATCCGATTGCGTCACGGAGGCTAAGATAGGTTTCCGTCAACGAAGTACCAGGGTTTCCTAAGTGATTTGAATTGTGTTAAGTAAAAAGTTACTTTGTAATAGTCGTATATAAAACTCATTTTAAGTCTCTCAATCAATATAAAAGAGATTCGCCCCCGGGTGGGCTCGAACCACCAACCTTTCGGTTAACAGCCGAACGCGCTAACCATTTGCGCCACGGAGGCTACGATTGCTTTATGTGAACCAAGTATCATGATTACTAAACTAACTTAGAATATATTAAATAAACGTTAAGTTCATTTGGAGTTTCCGAACGATACAAAAATATGAATTCGCCCCCGGGTGGGCTCGAACCACCAACCTTTCGGTTAACAGCCGAACGCGCTAACCATTTGCGCCACGGAGGCTACGATTGCTTTATGTGAACCAAGTATCATGATTACTAAACTAACTTAGAATATATTAAATAAACGTTAAGTCCATTTGGAGTTTCCGAACGATACAAAAATATGAATTCGCCCCCGGGTGGGCTCGAACCACCAACCTTTCGGTTAACAGCCGAACGCGCTAACCATTTGCGCCACGGAGGCTACGATTGCTTTATGTGAACCAAGTATCAAAATTTCCTAAGTTATTTGAAGTGTGTAAAATAATAAGTTACTTTGTGCTGGTCGTGTATAAAATACATTTTGAGTCTCTTGTTCATTATAAAAATGGGTTTCGCCCCCGGGTGGGCTCGAACCACCAACCTTTCGGTTAACAGCCGAACGCGCTAGCCAATTGCGCCACGGAGGCTATGACTGTCTTACGGGAACCAAGTATCAAAATTTCCAAGTTATTCGAAGTGTGTAAAATAATAAGTTACTTTGTGCTGGTCGTGTATAAAATACATTTTGAGTCTCTTGTTCATTATAAAAATGGGTTTCGCCCCCGGGTGGGCTCGAACCACCAACCTTTCGATTAACAGCCGAACGCGCTAGCCGTTGCGCCATGGTGTCTACGACTGTGGAACGGGAACCAAGTATATTGATTTACTAAGTTATTCAAAATAATTGAATAAATAGTCACATGATGATACATGAATACATGGTCGTATATCAATATAAAACTGATCGTCACCCCCAGGTGTGCACGAAGGCCAGTGGGGCTACCTATTTCTCACTTGACATCTTAAAAAGTGTAACCGAAAATTGTTTTGTATTTAAAAAAACTGCTGTTTTTTTGTAGGAGTGGCTAGAGTCGCAAGGTATAGAAGTTTCTAAGGCAGAAGATGTACCAGTAGACCCTTATGTAGAAAAGGAACATTGGAAGAAAATACAACCACCAAGAAGACAGAAAGTACGCGAAGATCCACTTCGACGGTTCCTGGAATACGATGGAAAAGTTCTGGCGTAAGTGCAAATAATAAACATTGATATATCTTGCTCTATTTTAAATTTATGTTGTGTACATCCGAAGAAATTTACTATGGAAAAACTCGGTATACCAATTAACAACTAGGATAGCTAATTTGTAGCTATATGGGTCGCTGACTGCGCGCCGCTAACCGCACACCTGCCTCTCTACCACCCCGTTAAAACCACCACCCTTATATACCTCACAACCTCCACACGTTTATTGCGAATCAATCCTCTACTTACTATCAGGAGACCGCTATATCGAGTTAATCGATGCAGTCATTAAATATCCTAAGCTAGATTAACAATATTATTAAAATTTTGTATTAAATATTCGAAACTACTTTCTAGCTAACACAAATTTTGTACCAGAGAATTTGATACTTTGACTATATAGTATGCGAAAAAAATCAAAGCAAACCCACAGGTCCGCATTCTAGGATAAGTATAGTAAATAGCCTATGTTGGTACTATATACACTAACTAAAATTACCAGTTTTTACATGACATGAAACGGCGAGATTCGGTAGTTTTTCTTTCATTTTATATTTTACTGGTGGTTGCCCGCGACTCGCTCCACGCATCCTCCATCCATCCATCTAAATATTCGCATTTATAATATTAGTAAGATGGGATATTCTAATCCAGTCTTTAACTAGTTACAACTTTAATTTAGAATATAGTTCAACAAGTTAGGTATATCTCATGAAGATTCCAATTAAAATGAGAGGTATTTTATGATCTCAGCATAACGCTTAAGTAGCTATCATTTATTTAACTGTCGTTGCCTCCTCTGCCATGATAATAAACAGGGCCGGAACCACCGGAGTTTGTTCATAAATCAAAGCAAAATGGCTCCTTAACCTTGCTCATGGGAGCCGTTCTCTTTATTTCTTTTCGATATCTTTTTTTACTTTTTTTAGGATCCTTGAATAGGTAGTAGAAGTTATATATATATATATATATATATATATATAGTTTACATTTTACAACGATATGACGTTGAACTAAATGTAATAAAGATTAATAGCGTAATATTGTCGAGAATTGGTCTAAAGTAAAATTTTGTTTCTCACAGTTACATTAGTCTTTTAAAAGTTTTGCAAACTTTGACTAGTTACTTTACAGTGGTAGAAAATTACAGAACGTAAGAGTATAATAAATATGCTGTAAAATATAACATGTTTTTATACAAATCAACGGTGAGGTAAATTGGAAGCCAATCCATGGATGTTTACTGTTTTTAGATTCAATGTGGTGTGGGATAATCGCGACGCCGAGAATGGTGAACTTGGAGAATATAAACTATTTTACTTCCTACAAGATGACACCATTTCTGTTAAGGTAATAACATTCTAATTTAGAATAAAAAAGTTATGTTACAATATAAACAACATTGGTAGACGCCAGCAACAAAAGATCTGTTGCACGAATGGGCTGGCTCGTCCGGTGCAATATCACGACCACACAGAATGCAGCCGTGAAGTGGAAAGAATCCCGCGTTTCGTCTCATAACGGTGCGTTCCGACATCCTAATTAAAGTGCTCTTTCCCTTCTCGACCTTTTTCTTATAATGAATGGACGGGACGGAGAAAGTGGATTTGATGGAAGGAGGACGCATATGAAGGTTAAATATTCTGTTTCTGTGCATGTCCACCTCTGTCGATTAAAGATAGGTAACGCATCTGCAATTGCGGATGTCTATAGGCAGCGGTCGCTTAGGCACCAAGCCACAAGTTTGCCACCTTATAATATTAAAAAAATACGTTATTATAATATAACAATAGTTAGACATATTTTATTTTTCTTAAAACACATATAGCCTCCGTGGCGCAATTGGCTAGCGCGTTCGGCTGTTAACCGAAAGGTTGGTGGTTCGAGCCCACCCGGGGGCGGTATATTGTTTTTTATTTAATAGTACAATAGAATGTCATCCTTATTAATATATTGAATACTAACATAAATTAATAATATCTTAAGGAACTCCACGATGCTAGAGGAGGAAAAGATCCTTTTCCCATGTTATTGAAGAAAACTAAAATACCCAAGAAGTGGAAGGAAAAGCCTGGTGGGTAATAATCTTAGCGATAAGTATAATTTCATATTTCAAAACTTTAACAAAAAGATTGTTAAAAATCTTAGAGGTGGCTTAAGTATTTTTTCTTGATCGCTTCTCCGACGGCATGTATACACATTGCTTGTAATAACGTAGAAGCAATCACGCTATGTGGAAGGAATTATATTGCCCGTCTTGTTATTCTAGCCCTAGTAATAAGTTCTACGACGAGCTCGGGAGGAGGATTAATTCGTTTTCCAATACGGAGCTACAAAATTAAACATCAACTCTGTGTAATTTTGCAACCCTAGCAGATTTTAA